CCCATGTAAATACTGACGATTATAAGGGGTTTGTTTACCAAATTTTCACCGAGTAAGCTTTTTATGGTTGTAACTTACCTTGCCGGTAAGCATGACAAAGACCGATAATCTTACCCGATAAGAGGCATAGCAAGGATCAATAATCTTATTYGATAAATGAAAATAAAGACTCTTACTCRGTAAATGCTTACTGGATAGAAAATATTTACTACAATATATTTTAATGGTTGAAAATGTTACMCGAYAAAGTAACTTGAGAAGGACTTGATGTTTGTGTTGCTGGTGGTTCAACAATTGCAACCAAGTATCGGGTTATTTAGAGAAAGGCTTAGTATCTGTCTCGTTTGAACTATTGAAGAGGGTGACAATATCTATTTCCCAAATTTTCTTTAAGCAACAGAACCTGATATATCTACCATATACTGTACTGTACAAGGGGAATTTCTATCATCTTTGAAATTTTGAAGAGGTACAAGTGAAAATATGCATAATCGTCAAGATGAAAGTGCGTTCACGTGTTGYAGTTACTTTAAGCCAACACAATGAAGATGTTCAAACCGTAAAGAAATATGAAAACAAAATCACAACAGATTAAACAATCCACTAGGAACTATAAGCAATATCTTACCTGAAGAAACACAGTGAAGAAGAAAACTAGAAAGGGGTAACAAATACTTCTTAAAAAACCCGTGGATCTTTGAGCAATTAAAAACGTGAATCGTCACCTCGGGGATGGGAGAAGAGACCAAAAGGTAACGATGAGAAAGTATATGTCACTTGGGTAGGGGAAGGATCGAAGATCAAGAGGAAAGGATATTTTTTTGATGTATATAATATTTATATTCGACAAATGCAATAAATGAACTCGCACACCCTCCTCACCTTTGGCCAGGTTTAAACCTCCGACATTATAGGAGGTCAAAGGCTATGAAACCGCAAGGAGTGATGAGAGCTAGTCTTGGGAAGATAAATTATGAGAGGAATGTTGGTATTGGAAATATGATTTGCAATTTATTGTTGTTTAAGTTTATGTCGATTACGATTATTTACTGTTTTAGTCCCTTATACTTAAAAGTAGGAATTCATTCAAGGATAGAAAATCGAAATAACAATAAATTGGCAATCATAGAAATGAAAATCGTAATTTATAACCCACAACGATGAAAATCGAAATTATTAACAAAATACAGGGACGAAAATCGTAATTTACTCAAACAACTAATTTTAAACTATAAGGACTAAAGCTGTAGTACAGGGACAAAAATTACAATTTTAACAAACACCAGGGACTAAGAACGTAGTTTTACTCAAATAAAAGAAGTTGGGTAAATTAGAAAAGCGTCAAAATGTTTTACCAAAATTTTACCGACACGAAGAATTGATGCTATTTAAGGCCACTTCGATCGAAACCCGYTTCGTATCATCTCTTCAACGACTCCGATTGTGCATCAAGTCACTGAGATTTGTTTCTTTAGCGTTTCTGAGTTTAGGGTTTCGCTCTAACCCAGCATTCTGGCTCTGGGTTCTTAGGGTTTTTGCTTCTACCTTTATTGTTTTTCTTCGCCAATCATAAAATGGCTGGAAAAACCGTATTATCAGACGAAGAAGGTGTTCTTATAACCCGCAACTTTTCAATTAACAAGCATTGTCTTTGATTTTTATGGTTATTTAGTGGGTTTTTGTTTCTTTTTGCACGATGGTTAATTATATGTACGTATAGATGAGATTGAAGTAGAAGAGGACGAGAGGGAAGAGCCTGATGGGGACGCAGTTGATCCTGAAGATCGTGACGAAGAGGACGAAGAAGATGGTACGAATTTTGTATATCTTTTATCAATAATCAATATTGGTTTACGCTGTAGAAGCTTCTTTAGGGTTTCTTTCTTGGCTTTATGTTTTCCCCAATTGTAGAAATCATAATATTTTCTCCATTTCAGTAAACCTGGAACATTATTTTTCGCTCTAGTTACATTGGTGCCACTTATTTGCAGAACAAATGAAAGTTTTGCATCTTTTTCACTCTATGGTGTGGATCCCTTCTGTCATGTCTGAGTTTAGGATTTATTTTGATGGTTTCTTGGGTATATTGAAGGTCATTTGCTTGTAATCTTGGTCTTGAACATGTGATATAGCTAGTTACAATGTCATGATAAATTGGGTTTACTTGGCATTAGAAGAATTGGGGATGCTATTTTGGTTGCAATTATATGTGATTATGTTTTAATGTCCACTGTTTTTATTTTGTTTCTTGGAGTCTAGCTTCTAATGTGATTTTGCTCTTGGACTTGTTCAGAAGAAGGAGAAGATGAGTATGAGAAAGACGGATTCATAGTGGACGATGTTGATGAAGATGAACAGGATGCGGAAGAAGAGGACAGGGCAGATAGTGATGAGGAGAGGCAAAGGAAGAAGAAAAGAAAGAAAAGGTGAATCCTTGTTAATTTTCTTTCTTCTTTTTATTGGTAATGCATGGCTACCATATCTTTCTAACTCGTGCTGCACCAATCTTAAGAGAATCGGAGAAGAACTATGTTCTAGATGAAGATGACTACGAGCTCCTCCAAGACAATAACATCACTGGCTTTCGTCGTCCAAAAGTTGTGAGTCACTTGGTCTACATTCTTATCTTCACTTCATAATCTTGATGGTGTTTTATCAGTTGGTTTTCTTTCCATCTGTGTGTTAATGTTTTTCTTGTAAATATGTTAGGAGAGTAAAAAATTTAAGCGACTAAAAAAAGCAAGGGCTGATGCTGATGAAGGGCAATCAGGATTTTCCGATGAGGAGGAATATAATAGGAGTGGAAAGGGTGGGCGGAGTGCAGAGGAGAAACTCAAACGTAGTTTATTTGGGGATGATGAGGGTATGTTCCTTTTAATTTCTCAACCGACTTTTTATTTATCGTGATCTTGAATGGTGCCATAGTGAAAACTGTAACTTGCCTATAACATTTAGGTCCTCCCATAGAGGATATTGCTGAAGAGGATCAACCTGAAGAGGAAGAGGATGGAGACATTGGTGAAGAAGAAGATGAAATGGCCGACTTCATTGTTGATGAAGAAGAGGTTGATGAGCATGGAGAACCAACAAGGTGAGTCTTGGTGCTTAATGGTATGTAGATGGTTTTTTTGTTGTTGGTTCCTTGTTGACACTGTCACACATAATGCAGGAGGAGGAAGGTTAACAAGAAAAAATCTAGGCAGGCCCCAGGAGTTTCCTCCTCCGCAATGCAGGAGGCTCATGACATATTTGGTGATGTTGATGAGCTCTTGAGGCAACGCAAATTGGGACTAGAAAAGATCAACAGGTTTGATGAAACTGGTGAATGGAGGGAAAGGAAGCTTGAAGACGAGTTCGAACCGATCATTCTTTCAGAGAAGTACATGACTGAGAAGGATGACCATATACGGGAGATAGACATTCCAGAAAGAATGCAGGTCATGATGTTAACATGCATATTTATGTCATTTTTCCTGTGTGCACTCTTTGTGTATTGATTCTGCAATTTGGGGTTGTAGATATCCGAGGAAAGCACTGGTCCTCCGCCAACAGATGATATGAGTATAGACGAGCAGAGTAACTGGATTCTTAATCAACTTGGAACGAGTATGGCGCCTTTGTTTGGCAAAGGAGGTACCAGGACAACTGAAGAAGGGCATGAGCTAGCAATACTTAAGGATGATGTTATGCGGTTTTTGGAATTTATGCATGTTCAGAAATTAGATGTAAGTGCTGTCTCTTATCTCTATGCTAAACCGCAAAATCTTTCAAGCTTTTCTTTGTTGGGATCTGTGGAGCTTCTAATGTCTTTGTTATCAGGTACCTTTTATTGCTATGTATAGGAAGGAGGAGTGCCGGAGCCTTTTTAAGGATCCAGAATCGCAAGCTGACAAGAACCAAAGTAACTCTGACCAAAAACCCAAACTGAGGTGGCACAAGGTAATTGCATGTCCATCGATTTCTCTTTTAGATTAACTTCATAGCATGAAGGAATTAATAACTTTAGCGGAGGTTGGATATACTATGCAGGTACTTTGGGCTATCTTGGAGCTAGACAGAAAGTGGTTACTGCTTCAAAAACGGAAAAGTGCTCTACAGTCGTACTACAATAAGCGATTTGAAGAAGAACGAAATGTGTATGATGAAACACGTCTTCATTTGAATCAGAAACTGTTCGATTCTATTACCAAGTCCCTCAAAGTTGCCGAGTCAGAAAGGGAAATCGATGATGTTGACTCAAAATTTAAYCTGCACTTTCCACCTGGTGAACATAATGTGGATGAAGGACAGTTCAAGAGACCAAAGAGAAAATCACAGTATAGCATYTGTAGCAAAGCTGGACTATGGGAGGTTGCTAGCAAGTTTGGCTATAGCTCCGAGGAATTTGGATTGCTTATTTCTCTTGAACAAATGGTTAGTAAGTTTTGCTTTTTACCACGCCCAATTGCACAATCTGATGGACCATTGATGTTGATGCTTTGTTTATACAGAGGATGGATGAATTGGAGGATGCAAAGGAAACCCCAGAAGAGGTGGCATCAACATTTACATGTGCAATGTTTGTAAATCCTCAAGCTGTCCTCAGAGGCGCTAGACACATGGTATTTGCTTAATGTGCTTCTTTTTTTCTGTTCTTTTTAGCTCTGGTACTTCGATTCGTAATTATAATCTGATTTTGCATGCATGTGTTCAACAACTTGTTATAGGCAGCAGTTGAGATTAGTTGYGAACCATGTGTCAGGAGACATGTACGTAGCATCTTCATGGATAACGCGGTGGTGTCGACTAGTCCCACTTCTGATGGCAATGTGGCTATAGATTCTCTTCATCAATTTGCGGGGATCAAGTGGTTGAAGGACAAACCTTTGACAAGATTTGAGGATGCCCAATGGCTTCTTATTCAAAAAGCTGAGGAGGAGAAGCTTATCCAAGTTTCTGTTAAGCTTCCAGTATCAGTTCATGATAAATTAATTAGTGATGCCCATGACTACTATCTTAGTGACGGTGTGAGTAAATCTGCTCAATTGTGGAATGAACAAAGGAAGTTGATAATAAAAGATGCTTTTGATGGGTTGCTTTTACCTTCTATGGCGAAAGAGGCAAGAGCGTTGTTGACCAGCAGAGCAAAAAACTGGTTACTCATGGAATACGGAAGGCTATTATGGGGCAAAGTCTCTGTGGCACCTTATCAGAAAAAGGATCATGATGTCAATTCCTCAGATGATTATGAAGCTGCACCAAGAGTTATGGCATGCTGTTGGGGACCTGGGAAGCCTGCAACAACATTTGTGATGTTGGATTCATATGGGGAAGTTCTTGATGTGCTATATGCGGGTTCCCTAAGTATACGTGGTCAAAGTGTTGCTGACCAACAACGTAAAAAGAACGATCAACAGCGGGTTGTTAAGTTCATGACGGATCACCAACCTCATGTTGTTGTTCTGGGAGCTGTGAATTTGTCTTGCGCTCGGCTAAAGGAGGATATTTATGAGGTAAATGCGTTTCCGTCATTTTTCTTGTTATCTTTCTGTTCTATATTTGTTTAGATCAGTCGTTCACAATTGTCATTTTACATCAACTTGCCTCTTTTTTACTGTTAGTTTGCTGTTGATTGTTTTTTAAATATCGTTGAAGGTAAAGTACAGATATGCACGATTTTTATTAATCTATTATTTCATTATCAGATCATTTTCAAGATGGTAGAAGATAACCCAAGAGATGTTGGCCATGAAATGGATGGTTTAAGCATTGTATATGCTGATGAGTCTCTCCCACACTTGTATGAAAATTCTCGTATATCATCTGATCAGCTTCAGCCGCAACCTGGTAATTAACTTATTGTTTGTGTTCGAGTCCTATACATATAGGGTCAGGGTTAATAGGAAAACCGCAAAAAAATGAAAAACTGACGAACACCTTGATAATTATTCATCTGGACGGTATGTACATGTGCATACAAACAATTTGTTAGGTATGCACATATGCATAACATGCACACGGCCACACGTGCATAAAAACTAAGAAACAACTTCAATTATTTGTATGCACATGTGCATACCGTCCAGTTGAATGGTTACCTGGTTGTTCCTCAATTTTTCAGAAACTCCCTCCCTCCCTCCCTCCCCCTCTCTCTCTATATATATACTATATTATAAAGCATTTGACAAAAACTCTTAAAAACAATTTTTTATGCATAGAGTATTGTTTATCGTGCATATTACTTAAAATTCAAGATTACAAGTAGAATGTGCATGAGTACATCTTATTAAAGCTCTATGTTTGAATTCGTGTAACTAACTGCAGATAAACATCAAATACATGATAAACATCATTTTAAATATAAAAAAATTAAAATATAATTAAGATAATCATTGAGTTCTAACAGAATACGTAATTATTATCTTAAATAAATTATTTTATTTAACCAAAAATAAATTAGTTCATTTTGAACTTCAATTAAATTATAATGAAAATTAAATTAAAGAAATTACACAAAAATAGAAACTTTTAAATAGTTACTAATAATGCTAATTTTTTTCACAAATTTATAATATCTTCAAATTTATATTTCATTCAAAAAATAAACATATTTTCTTTTTTTCAAAACCACATAAAGTCGCATTATAACATCGAGAGACCTAAAATATTAAATGAAACATTAAAATCAAGATGTATCTCGTTGCATTGTGCGAGTACCCTTCTAGTGTGTGTGTATATATATACATATAAGGTCTAACTTATCATTGTATCAGGCATTGTTAAGCGTGCTGTGGCCCTTGGACGTTATCTTCAAAATCCTTTAGCAATGGTTGCTACCCTCTGTGGACCATCAAAGGAGATATTATCATGGAAACTTAGTCCTCTGGAAAGCTTTCTGACCGCTGATGAGAAATATGGCATGGTTGAACAAATTATGGTAGATGCTACTAACCAAGTGGGTCTCGATGTGAATTTAGCCATAAGCCATGAATGGTTATTCGCTCCTCTACAGTTTATTTCCGGGCTTGGACCCAGAAAAGCTGCTTCTCTTCAGAGGTCCTTAGTGAGAGCTAGTTCAATATATACCAGAAAGGACTTGTTGAACCACGGTCTTGGCAAAAAGGTGTTTGTAAATGCAGTTGGGTTCTTACGTGTTCGCCGAAGTGGAAATGCTGCCAGCAGTAGTCAGTTCATTGATTTGTTGGATGATACAAGAATCCACCCGGAATCATATGGTCTTGCACAGGAGTTGGCTAAAGATATTTATAGCGCAGATAACCAAGATGATGTGAACGACGATGATGATATGCTTGAAATGGCGATAGAGCATGTGAGAGAAAATCCTAATTTATTGAAGAGTCTTGAGGTCAATGCGTATGCCAAATCCAAGAAACGGGAGAATAAGAAAGACACGCTCCATCATACGAGATTGGAGCTGATACAAGGTTTTCAGGACTGGCGAACAAAATATGCGGAACCTAGTCTGGATGAAGAGTTTTATATGATCTCTGGGGAGACAGAGGACACACTTTCCGAGGGTAGAATTGTGCAGGCAACTGTTCGTAGGGTTCAACCTCAAAGAGCAATATGTAATCTTGAGTCGGGATTGACTGGTATGCTCAGCAAGGAAGATTATAGTGACGACCGTAGGGACAATGATTTGACTGAGAGGTTGAATGAAGGTGATATCCTAACGTGCAAAATAAAATCGATTCAGAAAAATAGGCATCAGGTCTTCTTAAGCTGTAGAGAAAATGATTTAAGGAGCGACCGATCTCAAAACTATAGAGCCATGGATCCGTATTATCATGAAGACCGTGACAATTCCGAAAATGATAAAGAAAAAGCTCGTAAGGCGAAAGAGTTGGCAAAGAAACATTTCAAGCCAAGAATGATTGTTCATCCTCGATTCCAGAATATTACAGCCGATGAAGCAATGGAGGTGCGTGTATACAAATTATATCGCATATACTTGTATTAAAAACGCCTTTATTAATGTATCTGAAGGCCTCTTCCACAGGAATTGCCGAGATGGCATTTTTGTTCTTGGTGGTTCATGATCATTCCTGATTGTCTTTACGTTCCATTACTTCTATTTGTGAAATTCTATTCTTAGGTGCTTTGGTTGGCTTTCCATTAAATCCTCTATGGATAAAGCTGTCTGTGTGGATTAAYGTGTATGTATAGATTGTAGAGAGTTTTGTTTGGGAGGGTTTTTTCATAAACGGAAGGAGCATGTTTCTTAATTGGGAAGAACAAGTTTGGAAAAAACTTGACTATCTGCATAAAGCTCCCTCCTAGAAACTTTTSTATCATTAAGTCACTACCAAATAGTCAAGTATAACTGATTGAATAAGATGCAAGTCTCATTAAGCTCATTAAGCTGCTAACAAAGGACCATACTTTTGTCTCATTAGATGCTGTCTGATAAGGAACCTGGTGAGAGTATTGTTCGGCCTAGCTCTCGTGGACCCTCATACTTAACTTTGACGCTCAAGATCTACGATGGTGTTTACGCTCACAAAGACATTATCGAAGGCGGAAAGGAGAACAAGGACATTACAAGTATGCTGCGCCTTGGAAAAACACTAAAAATAGGAGAGGATGTATTTGAAGATCTGGATGAGGTCAGTCTCTAATGTTATATCGTTTCATCATGGAAGTCGATCCAAAAACAAACTGTTTCTGTGAATTTTATCCGAACAATGGTCTTTTACGGGCAGACCGTCACTGATGGCAACCATGTGTACTATTGCAGGTAATGGATCGGTATGTTGATCCATTAGTAGGTCACCTGAAGACGATGCTGGCATACCGCAAGTTTAGAGATGGGGTAAAAGCGGAAGTTGACGAGAGCTTAAGGAAAGAAAAATCTGAGAATCCATCGAGAATTGTTTACTCCTTTGGTATATCTCATGAACATCCCGGCACCCTTATCCTAACGTATATACGGAGTTCAAATCCACATCATGAGTATATCGGACTGTATCCAAAAGGGTTTAAATTCCGCAAGAAGATGTTTGAGGAAATTGATAGATTGGTGGCGTATTTTCAACGACACATTGATGATCCACATGATGCTGGGCCGTCAATTCGGTCAGTTGCAGCCATGGTGCCAATGCGCAGCCCAGCAACTGGTGGTTCTGGTGGTTGGGGTGGTTCCAATAGCAATGAGAGCGGGTGGAGAGGCTCGTCTGGAGATCGAGAAAGAACTTCTACTCCGAGCTCTAGAAGTGGTGTGTTTTGTTCACCCGTCCTCGTGAATCCGACTAATTTTCTGTTTTGATCGTTTTACATCTGTGTGATGTGTTGCAGGTAGAAGTGATTACAGGAACGGTGGCGGTCATGATGCACATCCGAGCGGTGTGCCTAGGCCTTACGGCAGTGGTGGTGGTCGTGGGCGGGGGCGAGGAGGACGAGGGTATCACAACCGAGGAAACGAGGGTGGGTCGAAGGAAGGGGAAGATGGGTGGGGTAGCTTTCCAGGTGCAAAAACTCAAAACTCTCCAGGAAGGGAAGCTTTTCCCGGTGGTTGGGTTGACGGTGGCAGCAAGAGAAGTTCTGTCCAATCACAAGCCGGAGGAAGTGGCGGTGGCGGTGCTGGGTGGTCGACTGGATGGTAGTAGTAGTTTTATTTCTTTGTTTTACATGAATTGGAATCTTGTACTTGCAGATGTATTAGTTCTTATTTCTTTCTGTTTTAGATATAAATTTTGTTCTTGAATATTGTTTGGATAGAAATATAAGATGCTGCCGATTGCGAAGGTGCTCGGTTTTACGACTTGTATCCGCTTTTGTCATTTTGGGTCTTTCACTTAAATGACCGTTACTATTTATTAATGCTTATTAGCTAAATAAAACCTAAATAAAACCATTTGAGGACGAATTTACCCCTAATGAAATGAAATAAAAAAAGATTACAAGTAAAACAAACCATTTTCTTTATAAATCCTCATAAAGTTGTTTTTGGATGCATAAAAAACATCATAAACATACAGGAATATAGAATTGGAGAGGTTCTAGTTTGTGAGTTCCATAATTGCAGATACTATGTCTCCATCTGCAGCCTTGAGAGCCTTAACTGCCTTTGATCTGGAAACCCCGGCTTGTGTCATCACGAGCTCGATATCTTTGGGCTCGACCCCATTCTCGTCAATGTCKTCTTCTTCATCATCCACCACTCTCAACTCAGCCTCAGGCTTTGATACCACGTTACTAAGGTTCGAAGGGGCTTTGAATTGCTCGGCTGCTTGGCTCTGCAACTGTGAGCTCAGGTCCTCGATCTTCGCTTCACCAAATATCACRTATGTGTCTGAAGCAGGCGACTTGAAAACATCCGGTTTTGAGATCACAAACAGAATCTGTTTTAAAAATATTTTAATTGTTAGTCAATGACAATGTTTATTAAACTAGAGGGAGGTTTAGAGGAGMACCCAACACAATGAAAAACTGAGGAATAGCTGGTACCTATTCATTCGGACGGTATACATGTACATACAAGTAACTGAAGTTGTTTCTTGGTTTTTATGCATGTGCATACCAAACAAACTGCTTACAAATTACATGTATGCATGTGTGCATATAGTCCAGATGAACCGTTACCAAGGTTATTTTGCGGTTTTCCATTGAATTTGACCCAATTAAACTATATGTCAAATCAAAAGCTGCTGCAATGAACAACTGACATTCTTGCTCTTTTTGACGGTAACACGACTGACTCCAGGAATGGGCTTCATCCCGAGCTTTAACATGGCCTTCCGGCTTTTTTTCTCGCTTCTGCTTTGCCTAGACCTACCGCTGGCATCTCCTTGGCCTGCTTACAACACAAACTCAGCCATTAATATCTAATCATGTATCGTTTAAATAAAGAAAGTGTATTACACTACTTGGTTTATATCGCAATTACCATACATAACAGAAATAGTGATTCATTGCGAATCTGCTAGCGAAGAACACCATATTGGTAGCATGAGGTTGCTTAAGTTTGCAAAGGATTGATGAATCAAWATGATTGAAATTTCAATCATGGGTGATGGAACACTCATGAATGATCGTTAGACTACTAATTTTTGCATACAGTTCAATTACATACTCTCACCTTCGGCATCATCTTCATCATCATCTTCATCATCGTCATCTTCGTCTTCAACCAGTGGTTCATCATGCTGCAGAAAGTATCATTTAAACATCAGAGACATTACCTATATAGTCATCAGCTTTAAAACCAAAAGCTAAACCCACAAGTCTTGAAAGGATATATGAGCAACATATAACTAATCAATTGACACGCTATCGATTTGGTAGGAAAATAAGACCCCGAAAATGGCAAATCTTGTCTTGTGTTTGGTTGGGTGTGAGGAATGAAGTTTTCATAGAACCAGTTAAGTAAATTTAACCATTTATTTCATGCGATTGGTTGTTTTTACGGTTACCGATGCAATGGACTTACATTCCCTACCATTCATGATGAATCATCACCGATGTCCCCCATCATTCATAATAAATCATCCATTCTGAATGACTAACCAAACATGATAATTTGACTCCATAGAAGCAATCCAAGAGGCACTTGATTGATTCCCTACCATTCATAATGAATAATGCATTCTGAATGACTAACCAAACATGATAAATTGACTCCATAGAAGTAATCCAAAAGACATTTAACTGGATCAAAACCCTAAACCCTAAATGGCTAAAACCACACTGATTCTATCTTCTGAACTATAAATCATTATTTATAGCTAGCAACTAAAGAAACTACAAGCAACTACTTAAACAACCCTGGGAAAAGAACATCTTCATACAGCTGTGATTACAATCACATCTGAACAATCAAAATTTTCACTTGTCTTTATGAGTTTTCAGCGTTTTGGAWCCTAGTAAGTCCTTTTTGAAACTTGACATTATGAAGAACTGATCTCTGAAATCAAGGAAACCCTAGCAATTTCTTATGAAGAAGGCAATAATCAAAAGAAATTACTTCAACAAACAAGAAGCCTTCTAAATCATGCCCTCATTTCTTATCAATTTCTATATACATTACAATTCATCAGGAGAAAAGATATTTGCAAACATCACAAACTGTTCCACAAATATACCCAAACCTACAGTTCATATGACGAACAATAGTAACAATGCAGATACACAACATTTAGATCATTTTTTTGCCTAAAAAATAATCAAAATGAGCTAATCAGAGTGCAGTACAGCAATACGGTGCTAGATCAAGCTTTTTGCAGCCATATCTGGCATACATCCAGRCCTTAATTAATCATCCATAGATGATACATTCTTAAACTACATCCCCCCGTTTTTTTGCTACAATTTACATATAATATAACCCGAAACCGAAACACCAAAATGGTCGAGTGCAAACTGCAAAGCTAATAAAGGGTTGTACTGAGATCAAATCGAAGAAATATGAAAGGAAAGAATGTAAGCGATAGAGATCTTACATCAATCTTYTGTTGTTCGAGATGGGATGCGAGGAGTTCTTCTTGTGTTTGAGCAGTCATGGTGATGCAGAGAGGGTTTGCCGAAATGCGAGCAGAAGAAATCACAAAACCCTAAACACCAAACTATTTGGGTTTTTAAAACATTCGGACAAATACTAATCGTTGGATTATCTAATTAATACAATGCCTATCTTTTTCATTTTTCAAGGAGTGAATTACAGATTTGGTCCCTGTAATATGTGAAAAATTATGGATAACGTCCCTATACTCAAHTAATTATGGATTTGGTCCTCAWAGTTATCATTTTTCTATGGTTAAGTCCTTCACACTAACAGAATCTGTTAACCTAGGGTTAAAAAGACCAAAATACTCTTTATTTGTTTTTTCTAATAAAAATAACATATATASTATTATATTTTTTACTTTTAATTATTTTTTTCTTGTTCGTGTAAGAAAATACATATTAAGAACACCCAGTAACAGGAACACCACCATTCACTATTTACCAAAGAGTCTTTGTCTTAGCAGTTAGGAGTGAACACGGGTTGGGTTGGACGGTTTATGATATTTTTACAACCCAACTCAATTATAGCGGTTTGGGAAATCTCAACCCAACTCATTTAAAAGTATAACCCAACCCAATCCAACCCTTGCGGGTTAGGGCGAGTTGGGTTGGGTTGACGGTTTATTAAAGTCATAAGATGAAATTTCATCTAAAAATTCACTTATTTGAATCACCTCATTATTCTCTTTTTTAACCAACTTTGTGTGCATACAAGGACCTCCACCATTTTTGGACTCAAAGAACTTCTAAACGAGTCTAAAATATGACTGCTAGTACTAAAAGCGGATTCAGATGATACAGTAGATATAGGTATAGCAAGAACATCTCTAGCTATCATAGACAAAATGTTATACCTATTAGTATTATATTTCCACCAAAGTACTACGTCAAATGATGAAGCCTTTGGATTGATAGATCCATCAACCAAATATCTATCAACGTCGTTCATGTTTTCCGACACGTCCATTTGTTGTTGTTGCAAAAATGATTCCAATAATTTTTTCCTTTGAGATTCTTTAGAATCATTCTTTGGTTGCAACTCATGAACAAGTTCCCTAAATTTTTCACCCTCTATAATACTAAAGGGTTGTTCATCATTAAGCACAAACCTAGTCACGGCTTTGCGACATCTCTCTTTATTAAATGACACCTCATTTTCATTGACAGTAGGAAAACTAAGCAATTTTTGTTTTTTATCGCTAGAGCTATCCAAATACTTCTTATATTTGTTCCTTAAGTGATTCCACAAAGAACTTGTGCCAATTTTCTTACTATGGTAAACATAGTCTTTTCCACAATAATTTCAAAAACATCAAGAGTCCTTTTTTGAAAAGTAATCCCAAACGTTTGAAGTTCTATCACCTCTTTTCTTAGACGAGTTTGGTTCATCATTGTCTTCGATTTTTGGAGGTTTAGGATTATTTTCCATTGCTCATATACATCGTCAATTAAGATAACGTTTTCAGAAAGACATAAAATATGCAAATGCAACTCAGAAAGACATAACTTGAAGCAATGACGTAGGGTTAGTGTTTCTAATTTCTATTTCTGTTGGGTTAACACATAAGAGGTTAAGGGCTTAAAGGTCTAAGGGTTATTGGACTAAGGGCTTAAGACCAAATTCCCAAACACTTCCTTAATTTTTGTAAATATCACACACATATATATATATATACACATAGTTTTATATATATATATATATATATATATATATATATATATATATATATATATATAATATATATTAGCGAAGGTTTGGCGGTTTGGGTTGGTTTGGGTTGGGTTAAGTTATGCTAACTCAATTTCAACCCTCCTAATTAGCGGTTTGGCGGTTTGGCGGTTTGACGGGTTGGATTTAATTGAGTTGTTAGCGGGTTGGGTTGGGCGGGTTTCACGGGTTGACGGTTTTTTGTTCACCCCTATTAGCAGTATCGTAGTCTTTGGCCTCCTAAACCCTAAACCTCACCTTGAATATGTGAGTTTATTTGTTACATTTGTATATAAATTTTATATAGTTCAAAAAGAAAGACCAGACACAAATCCGAAGACAAACAATATGATACTTCTAAATTAAACAACTTGTATTAACACAAGTCGAATGTGACCCAAGTCATTATCGTCATTGGCAGATAAAAATCTCCTTTTCTGAATTCTCACGTTTCGATCTTGTCCATCAATCACACGTATAAATATCATCAAAGAAATCTATTTTTTTACCCGTCATGGCATCCACCACCTTCTCCATCCCCTAGGTTATTCTAAACTTTTAATCACCAAACGTTATATTTTTATTTTACCATAAGCAAATTTAGGGTTCGGTTCACGTGAGACCAACTTGTTTTCGTGGACCACTTTGTTACACTTAAAACTTCATAGCAAAACGTGAAGGTAAAAAAAATCGAGCCTTCACAATAAAAACAGTGTAAAGGTTACCTTTAAAGCGTTTTGCTGTGAAGTTTCAAATGCAAAAAAAGTGGTCTCACAGGTCTCACGAAAACAGGCTGGTCTCACATGATCTCAAGTCAGCAAATTTAAGTTACAAGTATGTCATCTCTTTTACCAGTTTCGTGTAAACGACATAAAGTTGCAAGTTCGGCGGTTTCCTTCAATGTTATTATAGTTTAATCGCCTATTAGACACATTTTGCAAACTCTCTTACCTCTTTATATATTAATACCTATTTTTTTTTATTCTGATACCATGAAGGCTGCAAGTCCGTTTGTCAAAAACTGCCCACGTCAAATTAACTCGTTTGTATGAATATTTTTGAAACTTTTCATCGAGCGAATTACAGATGCAACCATCATATCCAATATTTTTTTATCGAAACAACACTGGTGCTTGAAAAAACATTAACGAAAACATATACTAGCGAATGTCGCAAAAATAAGATCGTGTTTGAGGGTGAAAAAATCTTATATCGTCTGTCTGGCATAAATTTGTTATTCCGAGGGATAGAAGACCGATGGGTTTGATGGAATTAAATAGAGYAATGGATTGTTTCWGAGGCGTTTYTGGTATTAATTTGTTTGAGTTGTCTTAATAGGGACAAGTGAGGAGTCCCGACTTATCCCATTCCATATAGTCATTTTGGCTTAATGGCTTAACGATTAAGTCRTAGAAAAACACTTCTATATGACTGAACGAATAAGCTACCGGACCATTAAGCCCCTATTTCTAGTTTATAGATTTATATTCACTACCCATAAACTTCGTTAAAAAGCACTTAATATAAACTGTGAATGAGATTAATGAATGCAAGAAATGAACCAAATTGACCAACAACCAACCAACCAACCTTCATTGATCTTTATGACCAGTCTTGTAGATGCACAAAGAAAAAGAAGCAACTAACCCTTTCTTTAACTTAAAACTTGATGCAGAAYGTTTCGATGGCGTGGGTCAGGGATTACGATCCAAACGGCCACAAGAAAGACCACGGACCATGGCGTACTCGACTCCCCCTCCGGCTGCCGCCMCCGCTCTGATGACTACATCCGCCCGACCCTTTTGTTGTCACCTCACGGCGACAAACCGGGCATGAGCTCACCTGGGCTAACCAAGGAGCGATGCATCCGGAATGATATAGATGTTTACACGGCAACTTCTTCGCACTCGACCCCAATATAAGTTTCTCTTTACAAACAGCACAATGGGAATCGGATCGCGCGTCTTTCTTTGAAATTCTAACGGTAGGCAGTGCATCGATTGATGATTTCGAAGCTGGTGGAGGAACTTCTTGATCACGACTGTTGAACTGTTCAAAAAATTCTTCGACTCCAGGTCCCACAAAGAAGTCTGCGCCGTTTTCTCGTCTGAATCCAAGTACCTCGTTGAAAAGCTCGAAAAGTCCACCGTTGTTAGGGATACTAACGGGCATATCGCCGGTATAAATAGGCCAAGGTCCCCACATACTATTTTCGCCATCTTCCGAGACCGCTTCTTGTTGCTCTCTGTGATTAGAATTGTTTTGTTGTGTTTCTTGTCTTCTGAAAAGGTTTGAGAAGGTTTCCATGATGCCTGACCTCGGGGGGGTTTGTTCTTCGACGTCGATGTTTGTGGTTAGTATATTTTCGAGTTCTTGAACAAACCCTCCTCCGCATTCACAACAAATTTGGTTTTGTCCCACTAGAGTAACTAATTGCCTGCAAGTGTAACACCAATGGGTGCTTCTGCTATTTGATGTAGTTGTTCTGTCTGGCTCCATTTGAGACAAACTGTAGCAAGATTTTGGATTAGTTTTCTACACTTAAGAATTCAACTAATAGACACACAGCTTTACAAAAACTAATATTACAAAGAGGGAAGCATGAAGTTAAAGTTTCCAAGACCAGTCCAAGCGGTCCGGGGACCACCATGGCTCCTCTCTTCTCGAGAATCCATACATCCCTTATCAGTGTATAAACAGCTATCTCTCGAACACAAGTTTAGGTTCGGCCTCAATGGGAAAATAAAATGGAGCACTTAACAATGCATCTTCACAGACCAAGAACTAGTTTAACTTCAGTTCTGTTTACCAATACAAATTCGGTAAGTGCTAACACTGTAAAAGTGCGGTCTCGGTAAGAGGTTCTGTTTGGTAAGCCCTGACTGAAATAGCTGTTTACCAAGTGTTTTGTAGTAACTGTATACAGATAAGATACCTTTGGGGTGGGCTAAATGCACCTGAGTGATGCTATATACATCGCTACATAAGTCAAAATCAAGTCAAATTTTTTATGTTAGATATGTGGGAGGAGAATTTTAGCATATAGGGGTGCATTTAGCAATCATAGAAGTGCAATTAGTCTAGCCCATGCGATCCTATATATTGTTAAATGTACCCTTACCTATAACTTTCTTTCTCAAACAGATCAAATATACGACATACTGTTTATATTCCTAATGAATGAATTGACTTGATTCTGACATAAAAATGGTGTATATATAGCATTACCCAAAATTTTTATCATCTTGTGTTTTTTTTTTTTTTTTGTAAGGGTGTCCGGGCCAAAGCCCGACTAATCCCCGGCAATTTTGGAGGCTAAACATGGCCCCACTTAAATGTCGCCAACACTCCCCTCCCAAGGCTCGAACTCGGGTTCATGACTATGCCATGCCCAAGCCTTTACCACTAGGCTGRAAGGTCTTGTGTTGATGGGGCAATTGAAATAATAATGCTGACTCCATAGATGCAGGTCAGCACCATTAATCATATAAGTCTTTAGGTAAACTAGCTGATGTTGACAGAACCAACACCGGTCAATAGTGGGTAAACAACACACAAAACTAAATCTTTCAAACGAAAAGAGATACATTTGGCCCTATTGAATTCAAGCAAGTACTTTCCAAAGAACTACAGCCAAAAGTCAAAAGTGCAGCTAWGGATTCCATTCCAAACATCTTTATGAAAAACAAAAGTGGAGCTAAATTAATAACAAATTCCATATCAAATTCTGTGTTTGTGAAGAACACATTACAAATTGATAAATKTTGGATTGGGTGAACGAAATCCATATCCATTTTATTACATTTTGAAAACATTGGGTTTTGAACGTTTCTATATGAACTTCAAGAATCCAACAAATGAATTTTAGATCTGCAAATCAACCACGTTGATCTAAAAAAGTCAACATGAAGAAAAAGGAGAGATATTAACCAATATATTTCCTTATGCCTAAAATRTAACACTCGTATAATTATGTGATGGTTTCCGATTACTCGATTAGATTAGATTCGATCAGGGGACCCCAGCTCAAAGTATATGAAAGAATCATTAAGCATACCAGATGAGATCAGCTAAAGCTAATTCGGCCGTAAGGATCCAGATAATAGAAGCCGACAAATGCATCAAAGAAGATAGCAAAAATGAATAAGTGAATGACGATCTAGCTCACTCAACTGAATCTGATACTACTTCATAAACAATCGCCAATTCAACATTGCAGATCAGGATTAAGACTAAGATTAAGAAAGAATTGAAGATGAGATGCATAGATAAGGAATGCAATTATCGGGGGCGAAGATTGATTGATTACCTTTGATTTTTKATCCAAATGCAATGAGTGGAGATTTGAGATTGGAACGGATTTGGAGGAGGAGGAGGAGGTTAGCAATAGCAGAGATGCTCTCAGCACAAATGTTGAGGTGTAATGTAGTGGGGTCGTAGCTAGGTGCTAAAGTGAGCATGGTGCGTATTGCCACCGTCAAACTTATCCACGTGGTGGTGGTCATGGCCTATAATTTATCTTCTACACGTCATTTTCCTTTCATTCCCCTCGCATTCTTTGGGCAATCGTAATTCTAACAATCTTTTCATCAATTATTTACTAAACAATTATCCATATATTACTTATCTTACTGATTGAACATAAAAATATTCGAAAATCTTACTAGTAAATACTTACCTGGTAAAYATTTGCYATATACATACTTATTTATGTCAAKATCAGATCAAATTATATATTGAAAATGTAWAAAAGTAAAAAGATACAAGTGTRTATATTTAACAATATATAATACTTTATGCAGCACATTTTCCGATATAAAAGAAGTATCATCATACAATCATTTTTGATTGAATACAACACTTATATGAAGAAGTAGAAGAAAGAAAGCAATTTCTGGTATGGCATTGAAGAGAAAGCAAAGGAATGAATGAAAGGAATGCAGTTATTTGGACATGAAGATGATGAGAAGCAGGAACTTAAAAAAGAAGACTTGGTCACAGATACATAATTAAACAAGAAGATGATTTTAAAGGATCCATCCATCACTAGATACTTTTACTGACAAAATCAAATCAAATCGAATCAAACCAAACGAAGCAAAAACACTATTAAATGAGAATTATGACTATTATGATCGATCACTTCACTTGGCCATCATAACCTTAACGAACTCCTCGTAGTTGATTTGACCATCGCCATCAACATCCGCCTCACGGATCATTTCATCAACTTCTTCATCAGTGAGTTTCTCCCCAAGGTTTGTCATCACATGACGCAGCTCAGCAGCAGAAATGAAGCCATTCTGATCCTTGTCGAACACTCTGAATGCCTCCTTCAACTCCTCCTCAGAGTCTGTGTCCTTCATCTTCCTTGCCATCAGGTTTAGAAACTCCGGGAAATCGATGGTTCCGTTACCATCTGCATCCACTTCATTGATCATGTCCTGAAGTTCAGCTTCTGTAGGATTTTGCCCCAGTGATCTCATCACCGTTCCAAGCTCCTTTGTCGTGATGCAACCTGCATAACACACACTTGTTATCTCAACATATCTTGTATTATTAGAATAAGAAAACCAATTTCCTTTGTTGGTTATTACATTAGGTGGAATTGAAATATGAAGACAACAAAAGGCGTAATAACTGAATAACACAAATACCTTATTCTGATTTCTATGTAAAATCTAGTCAGTGTGTTCTAAAAAGTGGACCAAACCACCTCGGAGCATGGGGGATTTAAACCACTAATCTACCATCAAGAAGATGTCATCAAAAAAGCTATAATCAACTTAAGCAGATAAATCAAATTCTCAAGGCCAAGTCAAAACACCAGGCCCTTTTTCTTGGTTATTATTTGTAGATTAGTGGCCCAACCAGAAAGACAAGGTCAAACTCCAGCAAGGAACCAAATCGCAATTCCATTGATTAGCATCCCATTTAAAAGCCACCCAAGTGATTAGAAGCTAGAAGGTCCCCTGGCTACTTAGGTCTGCTTAACACTTATCCACGGGTAAGAACTTCTTTCTGGCTTGCTGTTATCGCCAGCAAGAAGTTCAATCCACGGGTAAAAGGGCCGTTTACCAAATACTTACCCGGTAAGCACTTACCGGTAAATTCAACACCATCATTTACTTGTGGTAATATTTTAGTCAACAAAAACGACATCATATGTAACAATTTACCCGATAAGCGCTAACCGTTGTAAGAGTTGTTGCCCTCACCGTGTAAGACTCTCGGTCAACTCGTTCTTACCGGGTAAGATTCTTGGTCCTTGTCATATTCATMSGGTAAGGTAATGTAACTTGGTAAGCGCTCACCCAGGTAAGCATTTGATAAATAGCCCCTAAATTACTGAACCTAGTATATTCTTAATCCAATATTAATGATTTAATATGAWTACTTTTACTCCCCTGATACCATTCTCTTGATCACTTGTTTCTTCAATTGGTTGAGGTTAGAATCATCTTTTTCCTTTTAAATTGATAAATTCTTGTTACTTCTGACGTCAAAAAAGGCCATTAGACTCTAAAATAACAAACTGGTACCCAGATCCTGGAAGTACAACAATGGGTGTGCATACCACGCAAGATGAACCAGGTCCACCGATTTGGCATTTCTAAAACTGCTAACATCTGGATGTGACACAGATGAGTTTGTGTGTATAAACTAAGATAGACAAGAAAACAAATATATATCATATAGGTTATTAAACCCATACCAAAACAATTCATCCAATCACATATTGATAAACTCTATTTGGATGACATGACATCGACATCCCAGAAGCACATAAACAGGAAGCCTAAGAATGTTGAGAAAAGCAAAGCAAGAACAACATACAGAATGTAGAACATGCTAAGGAATGTTGAGAAAAAACAAAGCATGAACAACAAACAGAACGTACAACATGCTCTAGCAGAATGAGACGCATACATATAAACATGAAAATAGAGTAGAGTGGAGAAAAGAAAACAAAATTTTAAAACCCCAATTTTTGGGGTATGAGTGTGCATACTTCATGCCCATAAAACTATATATAGCATGTCCAACAGTCCAACGGCCCAAGTACCTGAAGTCTTTTTGTTGACCCAGAAGTATTGGAATACTTGAATCAAGAAATCAAAATAACAAAAATGATTCCAACCATTTAAAAGAACAAGCCATGCCATATTTCCCATACACAAGAAACTAATTTTAATTTTTATAAATAGGTCATGGGTGCATGCCAAGTCATATGCCCAGGCTGCAGATGCACCCAATCRTACAGCATCCTAATTCAGGTATTGCTGTTTCACAGGCATGAACTAATAAAGGGAGTAAATAAAACAAGTTCAATACCATTAGATATACCGATATTATGGGATCCATCGTTACAGTAAAATACAAAATGGTTATAAATATAYTACTCTTTTAAGAATTTTGATTGTACCAGAGATATTTGACTTTTGTGTAGTTCACCCGATTTAGCATATTGAACCCATGAAAACACCCTGTTTTAATTCTACATCAAATTATGGTTCATTTGCAGGTACTCATGTCAAATTATAGGTATGCCAGCCTCACTGTAAGTCAAACACTTGAAGTAGCAAGAAAAAGAAAAGAACAAAAAGTAAAAGGCTAATAGCAAAAGAGAAGGCATCATGCATGGTGATACTAAGACCTTCACATCAGAGTAAATGGTAATGCAAAAGGAATAAGCCTTTAAGAGTGCCATTACATATTGAGGGGTCATACACACACTGCCAAGTTTGTGGTTCCATCCCATTGCGAATGATTAAGATGCTAAAGTCAACATACAATCCAACATACTACATAAGTACATTGTGAAGTCCCTTGAACATAGTACAAGTGTCAATCAGAGTTCATAGATTTCATGCATATTATTGATTTTAGAGCTAAGAGGTCATGTTCCAAGGGAAATGGGCATGTGGTTGGGTGGAATAAAAGTCTTGGTAGAATGTTCCATCATGCCCAACAAGTTGTATCCAACACATAGTTGTCAAAAGTCCCAGAGAAAAAGTGAGGCTCTACGGTTGATGAGGCACCAGGTCCATGCAAGGCAATTGTGTGAAAGGTGACCTGAGGCAACTATAATTTTTAARTGCTGGTTGTTGCTTCCGCCCATACTAAAACTTAGATGGTTTCAGTCATTTCACCTCCTTTTCACTCATATAAATCCAATCACATTAATACAACACAAAACCTAATACAGCAGAGATGAGAGACAAAAACGAGAAGAAGAATACATGTCGATCACTCTTCTTATTTGACTTGGGAGCCTTCTGGAGTGGAATCAGTCTGGTTCTTCGATGTCAATTCCTACTCTTATTTCCTGATGCTTATGTTGGTTTAGTTTTTTCCCTTGGTCTTATGTTTACATGCCAAGTCAACTACTACAATATCAATTTTATTGGCTATTTCTACTGCCACTATAGAATAGTTGTAATTATTATTGTTATTGTCATTATTATATATTCTGGCATCTGGGAAAATATGCCAAGTCCATATTAACCCCTGCTAGTCTCTAAACATTGAAGGAGCCATAGAATTAGAAAGGAAGGAAAATTCTGCTGTTCGAAAATTAGAAATAAACCCTTATATAAAAGTAAATTACTTTTAGAAGAATATTGTGTGATAAATATATAGATTATTCAGGGACCTAGCACCGAGCATCTAGGCACTAGGGTTTCTGCCGAGAGCCTTTGACAAACMTTGATCGAACAGCATAACAGTTTGAAAAAAAATAAGATCTCAATTCCAGAAAAAGAAATATCCTATTTTCCATTATTTTCCATGAGCAGGAGGTATGGTCCTCTTATAGTTGTAGATCCAATCATCAAAATACTCTGGATTGATCAATCTTCAATTGTCAACACAAAGAAAAAAGAACTTCCCACCTGTTAGCAGTCCCCACGATACATTTGTCCATTCAAAAATCAAATTATTGAAAAATTATTAACCAAATAAAACATTCCGTAGATCAGCCAACACATGCATTTCTCAGTATGTACCAATGGATGAGAACAGGGACATGTTGATAGCGACCCTTAAGATTAATTGATTATCCTTGTATATTAACTACCATCCGTTTTAAAACAAATTCAATGTTTGACGTGACATGTAGATTAAATACCTTCTAAAACATGAATTTTTTTGGTAAATTTGCAAAAAGAATTCTTCACCGTTGCAATTCCTAATTTGTGCAAACATCTTTTAACTTTCCTTATATATCTTTCGTTTTCCTCTAATGTTTATTTCATACACCCAGCAGATTCAAACGCCGATACACGAAAATAAATCAACGTTTTCATCAAAATCAACCTCCAAATCACAAACAGATTCTATGAGAAAAACATGATTTGCATCACATTAATTGAAAAATTCGCTCCTAAAACCAGGAATAAACCCCAGATTGATGKCATAAACATAGACAATACTTAAAAAATATATTTCTATAACAATCGCAGGGCCATCTAAAACACAAAATCAAGCAAATGAAATTTCAATAATCAACAAAAATGAAATCAGAGAGAGAGCAAAATAAACATGAAGCATACCATCGCCATCCTTATCGAATAGGCTGAAGGCTTCCTTGAACTCGGAGATCTGGTCATCGGTGAGCTGATCGGCCATTTGGAGTGAAAGAAAGATAGGTTGGAAGTGGTGGGTGGAAAAAGCGGAGAGGGAGAGAAAATAGGGTTGTCGATTGTAACCAATGGCTTTCAGACAAAGAATAGGGTTTATATACCAGCTTCGGTTCCGGACGTGATCGGTTTATCAAATTCGTTGCATCCGTTTTTACCGCTCTGCCCCCCTCACCCTTCCCATCCCCTACCTTTTATTTCTTTCATTTTCAAATATCCTTTTTTTTTGTTTTAAATACTTTCACCCGATTTACGATGCATTTATTTATTCTTATTTTATTAATAATAATTCAGAAAATGGAACCTACTACTACTACTATCAAATTAATAATAATTTAATACAAAATGATTAAGTTGTCAGAAAAATCAAGAGACTCTTATGATATGGCGGAAAATGACATATAATTGTTTGGTAATTGTTTACAATAAAATTAGGACGCTTAATGGTTAAGGAAGACCCACGATACAAAATTATTCAGAGAATTTTAAAACCATTAAGAGTCATACTTTTTAACAAACAAGATTAATCTCTAAACAATTCAGAAGTTGTCTCTTAATTAAATTATTAAGAGATAAACAAACAACTCCTAACAGATTCTCTAAAATAAAAAAAATAACGATTTTTATTATTTATTGTTTTTTTTATCTTCATTCCCATCAAAGAGGTTGGACTATTATTATTTTATATAAATTCATTTTAAAAAGTGTGTTCYGATGATAAATTTGTGGAATATTTTAATAATAAAATGAATGTTGAAATATTTAAAATAAAAAAATCTCTTGTAATTATTTTTACAGATTTTGGTTTATAACTCCTTATTTTTTAGATATTATAGAAAATYTGTTGGAAATATTCTCATGATTWTTTTTTAATTTYWATAATTTTACTAAAATAGATCAGTAAAAAAATTAATTATTCCCTCTTTCATGTTTTGAGGGTATCACATTTCAACGTTGAAATTAGATARTTTCTTGAATGACGGTCTACAATCCAATAAAACCAAAACCGATCTAACCAAAATAAAAAAATTGATAAATATTCTGGTAATCATTCATCTGGACAACATAACATGTGCATACAAGTAATTGAAGTTGTTTTTTGGTTTTCATGCACGTGTGCATAGCAAGCAAATTGTTTACAAGTTATTTGCAAGACTTTTATTCCACCACAGACTCAAGTTTGAATTCTGTCAGTGTCATTTACTTAGTCGTATGGTGCCACCGTTTGGAAAAAAAATATGTATATTTGTTTCTTATAGGCAAACGGTGTCACCGTTTGAAATCATTTCCCTATACTTTTTTTTTCTTCTTATAGTCAAATTATGCCACTGTTTGGAAAAAATTATGGATCCGTCCCTGAATAAACCCCGTGCATMAATTAGTGAATTGACCACTTTTTAAGGTCTTATATACTGATTTTAATACTAAGTCATATACACGTTTGAAAGCTACCAAGTTTATAAAGAAATAACAACATGAGTAGTAAGTCCTTGTTAAATTGATGTCATGTTAATCTCGTTTTTTCTATTTGAATCTGAAATAAAATTATAAACATAAAATAACAAGAATAGAAAGAATTATTTGTTTATTTCTTAATAGTTTAATTAAGAATCAATATCTGAATCGTTAAGAGGTGAATCTTGTTTAACAATTTTTTTTTATCTTAATGGCTCTAAAACCCTCCAGATGTTTTTTTTATCTTGGGCCTATGTTAACCATTCAGCCTCTTAACTTCATTGTAAACAATTACCAAACAATTATATTTTATTTTACATTATATCATGAAAGTTTTTTAATCATTTTGAACACTTAATTATTTTACATTAAACCATTCAACAACCGTCAAATAACCCCCAAGACAATCAATACGTGGATGATGGTTAATCATCGTTACAAGATATATAAAATAATCGTATGTTATTTTTGTTTTAGTAAAATAAATATTTRATTTAAATTTATAAAAAATATTTGACAATAAATATGTGTTTATTGGGGGTATAAAGGTAATTAGGTAAATGTTTAAATCGAGAAATTTGTCTTGTTTAGAAAAACGCGTCGTGGATGGAACTGAATAACACGGTTTGTACGCGTCGTCGATATGAAGTGGGTCTTGTCGGGTCAACCCGAATCAATCTGTGGSCCCACCACGTATCACCAACTTAGTAATAATAATACTAGTCTTTGTCAAGTTGGTTGACTTAACACCATTTCCAACCATTTTCAGTATTATTATTAAWTTTTTGTGAAATGATTTTTTTTTTAAATTTAATTTAAAGGAAAAGTCTAAAAAAATCTAATAGATATTAGTGTTCGGAATGATTAAGTTTTTGAACAATTTTTTGGAGCAAATATATCATTGAACATTTTAAAACTTGTTAAATAACTTATTGGAATTTCTAAAAGTTGTTAAATACATCTTTATTACCTATAAATCTGGTTAATTTGGTAAAATAATGAAAAAAGTATGGAAAAAAATAATGAAGTTTTATATTTTGAASGATTAAGTCTATAGACATTTTAAAACCAAAAAAATACTTACATCTATATAATGAAACAAATATACCAAAAAAATACTTACATTTACAGAAAAATACTTATATTTAAAAAAAATTATTGATGAAATTTATTTTAATTAAAAATAAAATATTTTTTGTTCGTAACCGGTTGAAGATTAATTTTAGATTAAAAAAAAACATGTCACTAACCATGTCATCAAATAATATAGAGTTGGATACCACGTCATTTGCCACATCAGCATGATAACTGGTTAATGCTTCAACCAGCTACCCGGATACTTAAATGTTTAAAACTTTACATCTTTGGTAAAAAAAAATGAACGTTTTGAAAATATATTATCCAAAATATGAATCAAATTAAAGTACATTATTTTTTCATGTAATTTGCCCTTTTATAATCAACAAATTTTCTGAAATAAAGAAAACAAAGTTCTGGTTCTTTATATTTCTCCGACATATTATCTATCTTGTTCTCTAAAAAAATAAAAAAAAAATAGAGAAAAACTTCAAACATGGAGAATTTTCTAAAACTCTACAGTGAGGAGAAAGAAACGTTATTTTGATATTTTCAACCAATGAGATTTATTTATTAGTTTTTTAAAATATATTGGAATGATAAATTATATTTTATTAATACAACTGATTTTGGAAATTCTAAAATAAAKAATCTATTGGAGTTGAATGTAATTCTTTTACAGTTTTTGACATTTWGTTGTCTATTTTAGAGAATTTGTTGGAGGTGTAATAACAGTGAAATTACCAATCAATATATTTTCTAACAGTAATTTACTCACTATTTTTTTTTTCAATCGATATAACTTGAAAACTTGACATTTATATCATCAAAAATTAAAGCAAATTATCAGTAAAAATTATTACAAAATAGAAAATTCTATCACTTTATTACATTAATTAAGATTTTTTGTTCTTATTACATTAACAAGTCAAAATTATTTTAATGCATTTTATTTTTAATATATCTTTCTTATTACTTTTTTTTCAATATTATGAGCCGTTTGATAGTTACTGAATGAATTGCTGCATAATAATTAAGTGGTTAAAATGATTAAGAAGCTCTCATGATAGAATACAAAATGAAATATAATTGTTTGATAATCATTTATAACGACATTAGAGCGCTGGATGATTAAGGAAGACCCATGATATAAAATCATTTAGAGGACTTTAGAACTATTAAAAGATAAACTTTTTTATCAAACGAAATTCACCTCTTAACGATTTAGAACTCATTAAAAATAATATAAAACTAATATMAATCAATTTTTAGATAAATAGGTTGAAGTTGCCAATCTTCTCATAACTCTAAATTGATTATTTTAATATTCTAAGTACCACAATGACAAKTAGAATCATATATTTTGAACACTTGTTAATTGCTCACAATGGGCCACGTATTTATATTTTTAATGAAGATTAATTATAATAACACATTTTAATTTAATATGGGCGTTCTGTCTGTTATAAATTATATGTTTATAATTGATATGTTATAACATTAAGGACAAATTGTACGAAAAARTGACGTACTTTGATTTGATTTTTATTTTGGGTAACGTATGTTCAAAACTTTCATTTTGGTACCTAAGATGTAAAATTTTAAAAAGTTAAGTACCCGGATAACCGGTTGAATCATTAATTGGTTACTATGTTGATGTGATGAGTGATGTGATATTTAACTCAGTATTATTTGCTCATTAACTCAACTAATTTCTAACAAAATATTTCTCTATGTAACTATAATTAAARTTGCCAATTTAATATTTATTTTTGGAAATTAGAAAAAATGAAAAGAGTCTAATAACYAAAAGTAAAATCTAGATGAGATTACGTGTATTCATCGTCATTGTTGTTGGCCCATGTCATCAATATATTTTTTTCCATATGATTTTATTTTGTTTTTCAATCATCTTTCTTTTTTGATATATTTGTACATACGACTTGGAATCATGTGAGATAAAGCTGTTTTTGTGAGACATGATTTTTACATTTGAAATTTTACAACAAAACACTGCAAAGATAACCTTCACAATGTTGTTTTTGCTGTAAAGATTCGGTTTTTTTTTATCTTCACAACATTTTGTTTATCTTTAATTATAACTTATCTAAAAAGATAAATTATCCTTCTTACTATAACTTCCATTTCACCTAAATTCAAACCTTAATTACATAAAACATAAAAGTTTATACATTTTTTCTGAACTTTTTATTTTCTTAGCTTAAGGGGGGTGTTTGAGATTGCTTATTTGAAAAAACTTATTATTTTMTATAAAAGTTCTTATCAACTTATTATAAGTTATAATGGTTTAACTTATTCAAAACCTACTTATTACCGGTATAAGYTTTTTATCYAAAYACTAAAAAATRYTTATTACTAATATCACACTAAAATAAATYAATAGATTATTTTTATAAGCAAYTCCAAACAMCYKTAAATACTTRTTTCAGATTCTYATTCAGTTGTCRTCTTTTACATGGATGGGTTGGTTTTCAAGTCTCCTGTGAGGTCGCGTCAGATGGTCACTGGTATGCCAATTTCAATAACTCCTATACTTTATATTTAATTATTTAAAAAATATTTAAATATTTATAATTTTTAATATAATTAAATATTTTTAGATATTAAGAAAGGTCTACGCGTCATTTYGTACCACCGCCGCCCAAATGGATATTCTATTTCTTTACGTGTCGTCCTTTTAATTTAAAGTTGTGTTTTCATATATTTAATTTTGACTTTTATTCAACAAATTTGATTTTTCAAAATAAATATGAAACTACTTGTTAATGATTTAAAAGTCAATCACGTTTAGTCCTTATGGTTGATTAGAAATTACGATTTTCACCTCTATATTTTAAGAATTACGGTTTTCATCCCTGTAATTTGTTATTTTCATCCTTATTATTGTTTTAGTCATCGTAATTTACAATTCTTTACTTTACTGGTCTGGTGGTCCCTCTTATATTTTAAAGATAGAAATTAGTCTAGAAACGAAAACAGCAATAAATTGAAAACTAAAGAGACAGATATTACGATTTCTATATCATAGGGACGAAAATCGATACTATTAATAAACCACAAGGATAAAAATCGTAATTTACTCATGATTTAATGATGCATATCTCACTAATCTCATGGTCCCTAGAATCAAAAGTAGGGAAAACCTCCGGTGGCCTTGAAAAGATACTCACTTGATAATCTSTAAATCAATTTATAACGATGGTAAAWGTTATTGATAGCCCACAACTTTAATCTTATAAGAAGTTCACAAATCTACTTTTATATCCACGTGGGACTCRGAGTGAAGCAGAAGAAAGAAGGAAAAAATGGTTGAAATGAAGAATCAGAAATCCAACTGCAAAACCAGTTCTTGTTTATTTCCAATTACAACAGTCAGTCATGTTCCTCATTYCTTTACCCTTGTCCTTGTTCTTGTTCAGCATATAAATGGCAAGGTTCTACACATACATTTACATTAAACACCATCCCTGAGCCACCCAAGAATGCCATTTGCCCATTTCAATTGTGAAAAATACTCGGATTGATGATWGCCAAAGCATAACTTGAATGCCGAACCTGCAAGATGTATAAAACCGGGTAGGCGTTGGATRATAAATACTCTTTGGTTTAAGTACCATCATTTCCAGCAATAATACTTGGCTTCATCAAAGCCTTTTCACTCGTGCTCTAAGCTTACCTCCGTTTTTGTGATCTAACTTATGAAGAACATAACCCTTTACAGATCTGTACAACATATATTAAGTGGAAACATAACAAGATTTTCAAATTGRTGATCGGCCAAGAATGGATTTTCAAATGTTTATAGGGATCTAAGTTMTCGGAGCTACTTGTAACGATGCTTATCTGTGACGGAGAGGCCATGGGTTCGAGTCATATGGAGGTTACATGCAAAACATTATCTTCTATTTAGTGCAAAAAGGTTTTGTAACCTACAACACCTGACAAGAAGCCTTTGGGAGAAAGGGGTTTGCCCTTTTTCAAGTACCGGAGTAAGGGGATGTTTGGTTGGTTTTCCATTAAGTCCTTAATAAATAAAGATGTTCGTGTAGATTATTCTGTCAGAAAGGTTTTTGTTTGAGAGRGTTTTTCCATAAATGGAAGGAGTGTGCTTCTTAACCAGGAGGGACAGGTTTGRAAAAAACTCGGCTTTCTGCATAAAGCTTCTCCCTAGAACCTTACTGAATAAGCCACCTTCTATATTATTAAGCCACTACCAAACAGTCATCTAATCATCTATAGCTGACCAAATAAGTTGCGAGTCCCATTAAGTTCGTTAATATGCTAACAAGCAGACCCTAAAATTAAGTAGCTAAACTAATACCCAAAAAAAAGAAAATGTACTCGGTCATTAATAAATATCGCGACCACAACAATCATTTAAGAGGTAAGAACATTTCTTCCGGTTCCAAATTTTAGCAAACCATCAACATAAATGAGCTATCAAACTACGATTATTACCACAAAAATGGTGTCAATAGTTCYATTAAACTGAACTTAATATCTAATATAACAACTTCCTAAAAGAATAAGAACATTTAGACGAGAAAAAGGGAAATGTATTACCTCTATACTTGATGAACAGGCTGAATTTCAGGAGTTACAGAATCTTCGTCACATTTATCCTCTGCATTAGCACTGTCTTCTTTTGTTTCAAGACAGAAGGGAGACGGGAGAGAATCGGATGCTCCATTTCCCTCCTTACTTCTCATGTTGTCCTCTAGGTGTTTATGATGCAAATTCTGTAAAATTTGTGGAAGTGAAAGGCCACTTGCTTCTACAAACTTATTTCCCATTTCGATGTCAATTTTTTCCTTTGACGTACTCCCAAGATTTGGACTAGTGGGCTCCATCACTATGCTGTCATCTTCTTGAATATATGCCCGGAAATCATTCAGCGAAGGAGGGATCTTGGAAAGAAAGATTTCTGCAAGGTTCTTTTTAACTCCCTTGTGATATAAATTCGTCTTATCATATCGGTATCGAAAGTTTTCATATGTTGTCTGCATTAAAAGCAAGGTTCAGCAGAGGCGGGCCTAGAAATCTTTTCAAGTAGTGGCACACCATTTGACTATAAAAAACGAAGCTATGGATTTTTTACACAAAATCATCATTGGTTTGTTGCTTAGTTCCTTGCTTTTTGTATGTGAGGTCCTGCGTTCGAGTCTCTTATCCCAAATATTTTCATGAACATAATAAACCTAAAATTAAAAGCTAAAAACTAAGAAAATGACATAAATGGGATTCGAACACGTGCCTGAAAAGGGGAGAAAAGAMGGTGCAAATCAACTCTACCAAGAGAAACTTGTGTTATTATCGTAGTTTCTTCAAAGAATATATGGTTGCACCTAACAAAATAATACGGTGRCACCTTTCACAACCCTAAAAAAATTTACACTACGACGGAGGTGGCTCGTGCCACGGTATGCAGTATAGTGGGTCCGCCCCTGAGGTTCAGATAGATATGCATTAAACTAAAACTAGAACTCTAGAAGAGCATATACGAGCATTTACTGATATCAAGATTTCTTTATATTGATTCATATTTTCTCATAGAAACTACAGAAAGTTAACCATGGCATGTSTTGTGTATACATTCAAATTAAGGGCATGTTTGTTAGCARCTAAATGAACTTAATGGAACTCATAGCTTATCCGGTCAGCTATATATGACTGTTTGGTAGTGGCTTAATGATATAGAAAGTGGCTTAGTAACTTTTAGGGGGGAGCTTTATGCAGAGAGGCAAGTTTTTTCCAAACCTATCCCTCCAAATTAAAAAACGCGCTCTTTCCAWATATGAAAAAACCCTTCCAAGCAAAAATCTTCTCAATCTATATAGGCAGATTAATCCATACAAACAATTTTATCCATACATGACTTGATGGAAAACCAACCAAACAAACCCTAAGGGGGCGTTTGGTCTGATGGAATTGTTTTGAGGGATATGGATTTCGTGAAGGATTTGGAAGGATTTGGAATATTTGGTGTGTTTGGTTTGTAGGATTTGGAATGGAATTGAATTCCGTTTGTTAATAAATAATTTATAAAAACAAATTATAAATAATTATTAAAATAATAAAATCGCCTTTCTATTAATTGATTATTACAAAACAAAGTGTTTTAAACATATTTTTTTAACATTATTGCACAATACACACAAATCCCACGAAATACCAACAAATCCCATGTTTGTGGGATTTCAATGAAATCCCGGGATTTCAGATCCAAGCAGTCCTTCAAACCAAACATGGGATTGGAATGGAATTGAATTCCAAATCGAATCCTACAAACCAAACGGGACCTAAGATTTTGAAGGGAATGATTACCTGGTTTGAGCAAATAAGATAGAAGTGGAAAATTGTTAGGCCCCCCACAAACCAAACTGCAATGAAGCAGTAAACTAATAGAAAATCTGACAAAATGTCCGTTGACATAGTCTTCAAAACCCTGTCTTCTTGTTGAGCTATGTTGATCCATGTAAAGGCAAACACATATATGCACAAGATGGTTGATGTTGATATAAACATGTAGAAGAATCGATAGTTACGCTGCAACCAGATAAATGAAAAACCATTATTTTCTAGTGTCAATAAAAACAAATGCAAGATTCACAAACACATACGACATAAAGTAATTCCATTTATTTCTTACAAGTCCAATGCATTGACCAAGCCATGGACAGTGATGGTCAAATCTCTGAACACAATTATTGCATACGGAGCAATGTGAGGCTCGGGGAGGACGATAGAGCATACACGTATCACAGTATTTGACTTTGACCGAGTGACCGTTCACAATGACATCCTTTGTTCTTGGTAATTTCAAACGAGGAGTTCTTCCATTGATCCACTCCATTGAAGGGGTGTTCATCTCATATGTTTCATCTGGGTCAGGTGGTGATGCGTTTCGTGGGACTATACCAGGGTCTCTACTGGACGTCATGAAAAGAAACGTTATGTCCTGTGGAATAACGTAAATGATGTCAGATGTCTTCCGTTTCTAGAATAAACCATTTCTTGAGGATCATCGAAGAAATGTATTCTTCTACTGTGGATTCATTTTGAGATCTACCCACCTGCAATTGTAAATTTGAAAAATGATCTTATCCTCCATCCAACCCACCATTGAAGTCCAAAATTAGTAGACACAAAATGTAGTTATTTTTTTCTTCATAAAGTTCATTGAAAGTAAGGGATCTGAACAATCTGAGATTGAGTTAAAACTACGGGAACCATAAAGATGGATTTACTTACCAAACAAGTGAGAGCAACTGCCACGATCAACACTCCATACCAATAACCAATATATTTATCGTGTTCCTTATTGTGATTGATGATGTTGTAGACTTTAATACAGAAAGATACTGCAGGGCCTGCAACCAGGAGAATGGAGAAAAACAAAGAAGCCACATCGGGACCAAAGATCAATCGTCCCCCACAAAAGAATTTCTGGAACATCAGACASAAATGGAAATGAAGTTTCAATACAACACTGGAGACTGAAATCTACAACAATCAACAGAGTTTAATGGTAATWGGGATCTCATATGGGACAGCTCCATCAATGTTCTAGGCAACTCTTTCAAAATAAGACCCCAAAATCTATGATTGGCTACATCAACTTCCAATTTATATAGTKAAAAAAACAATCTGGTGCGTTATGTGTAGATAAAGTAGCTTATTACTGGTGGGTCTTTCTTTTAAACTCAATCAGTCCCATATTTGAGGATCTTCCTTTAAACCCTGATCTGGTTATTTTCCCTTTTCTGGTCCCTCCAGAGAGTTTTTTCTGGTGCCTTGTGTCATGGCCTGAATTCTTTGTCTCCCAACAAATATGGAGCTACAGGTTCATCAAGCGTTCTCCAAGGAATACTCTAGAACAATATAATGTTTTCTATATTGTGCTAGGTTTCTTTTGAATGTTGTATAAGATTCATGAAACATGTAGGAAGATAGAATATGGTAGGACCTAGAAGCTTCATGTTTCTAGATTATTTCATAGAAGAGTGGAGGAGTTCCCCATAGATGGGGGAAATCCTCTCATTTGTAATCATCAAGTTGCGAGTAAGAAACAAAAATCTTCTCTCTTGTTCTTCGATTGTTAAGGAGCATCTTAGACGTGACACAAGTTGGCCGTAGCCAATGTTAAGGAGCATCTTGACRGGCTTGAGCAAGATTTCAAAGGAGATACAAACAAAACAAGGTGCTTGAGAGTTTGGCATATTGTCAAGCTACAAAAACAAGAATTTCTCAGTCCTCATGCTTCAAATCCCAAACATCGAGTAACAAGAACTTGTTATTCAACTTTTTGGATGCATTAAGACCAGAAGGCATCCAAGGGTTGCAACATCGAGGAGCCAAAAACATTAGCAATGCTCTCACTATCGCTGAGGGTACAAGCACAAGAAACAACTCAAGTCTCCCAAGTCCTATGAACATCATAGGGGTAGTCATACAAGTAGAGGGGGAGAGACAAACAAAGAGTTTTTCTTACATTGAGGACTGCACTGGTCAATGGATTATCCAAAGAACATGTGCAAACATAGTGCTTAACAAGATGGGTTCAGTAAGCAAAAGTGTACCTAGACAATTATCACCTTCCAATTGCCATATATGTAACGAGCTGCATTGGTTCAAGGATTGTATGAAGAAAAATAGTTTCCAAGAATAGCGAAGCAGTTCCACATGGAAGAAAAAAGAAGATTGGGAACAATGACTGTATTACAATATGCAGAAGGTGAAAGGTAGTTAAGCACAAACAGATGGGGAGCTGCAAGGGGGATCATGAAGACACACGTTACGGCCAATGCATCATGAATCGGTTGGAGAGAATGTCATGACCCAAGTTCTTCAAGTCTGGATACTCGACAAAGGCACAATGCCAACACTAAATATGCAACCCAAGGTTCGCAAAGAGGGCATTCTCCAAAAGCAGATTCTAAAATAATGCAGTGTATTATATGTGTGTATACCAGTAGGTCTCTCTTATATGTTGTAAAAGCTTAATGACACGTATGAAGCTTAAACATTTTATGAGGACCTAAGAGCTTTATGAGTTTAGAATGTGTAATGAAATGGTGGAGCCACCTATAAAAGGGRGAGACCACCTCATATGTGACCATCAAATATGATCGAGAAATAAAGCATTAAACCAAGTGTTTCTCTCTTGTTTTTAAGTGTTTCTGTACTATCTAGTGCTCCCCTTTGAGGATTCTACTGTGCTTGTATGCATTTGTTTCATTTTATCATATAATGTGRGGGTTTTAGAGCTAAAAAGCAACACAAATATAAAAAAGAATCCAAAGRAACAATAAATCATTTACCAACAACTTATTCTAAAAAGAAACGCAGACCTGTGAACATTTGCCATTACAAACATGACCATAGAACCATCATGTTGAGTTTATTGGCATCTAATTCTAAATGTCATAGTGGACCCTGTTAACTTGACAGTTCTGATGACAGCTACCACAATAAACAAGTATCATACAAACAAAATTTTGGTGTTTTGTCATAYGTGTAAGATGCTCTTCTATTAATACATATATGCCAATTTTGGGGGGTAGAAGTTGACATTAGAAGGCAAAGGGTCCCCCAAAATGACAATTTCAAATACCTAGGCACCATGATTAAGGAGGGAAAGGACGTGGATGTCGTGACACACCACAAAAGGCAGGGTGGCTAAAATGACAGTTTCCACGAGAGTTTTGTGTGGCAGGAAGGTCCCGCTAAAATTAAATGGAAAATTCTATTAGGTAGCCATCAGACAAGCAATGCTGTATGGGGTGAAGTGTTGGACGATAAAGAAGGTTCATGAAAGGAAGTTGGAAGTTGCAGAAATAAGGATGCTCAGTGCACCTGTGGGCGAACTATGTTGGACAGGATACCGAATGAGGTCTACCGAGCAGATTTGGGAGTATCGTCTATCATAAATAAACTGAGAATGGAAAAATTGCGGTGGTTTGGGCACATTCGTAGAAGATAGATGTCCACATTGGTGAAGAAGGTTGAGAGCGTAATGGTCGAAAGACATGCCGAGGAGAACATGGATGAACAGCTGAGATCGGACATCGCGACTTTTATGTTTCAAAAGGCATGACATTATATAGGAGTCTGTGGATTCGCGGGACTAGGGGGAGGGTTAGAGAGTAGACAACTAGGTATTGAAGTCCTAGGATAGGTAGCGGGGACCCTTTGGAGTAGTCTGGAGTAGTTTTTTGCGAGTTTAGCCAGAATGGGGTCTTTTGTTTAACTTACATGTTAGGTCGATTAGCCGTTTTGTGCTTCTCCTAATGCTTTTAATGCCCTTGTTTAATTTTTTATCATGTTGTTTATTGTGCGTACTTGCTGCACTTGCTCTTTATTAACTTCTCTAAACTTCATTTCTTCTTTTTGACATACTTTCAGGTTGCTTAAGATTCCAAAACTCTTGCAAAATCTTTTTTTGCAAAAAAAGGATCTTTTACGCATGGCAAGATCTTCATGGAAACAGCCCTTCAACTCCTTGGGTAGAGGAAAGGTTTGCTTACATTTCACCCTCACAGTCCCTACTCCGCGTGGGATTTAGTTTACTGGGTTTGGTTTTATCACTTTATGCGGAAATTTGCTAGCTATCTCACATGCACCAGGAAGCAAAAGAAGAAGACCCAACAAGAGGTTTATGTATTTCTCCATGTCAATGCTCTTCTAAGCTGATATTAGGCTGATTTTAGTTTATTTGCTTTGGAGTTTCCTWATGGATCCAAAAGTTCACTACATGCTCTTAACTCAGTTTTCTTTCCATGCTATTCAAAAATCAATTAGTAARAAAATTTATACTTGGTCTTCCCTAGAAAGGAGGTGGAACTCTTTTTTTTTTTGGGTAAGAACGGAGGTTAAACTCTTAAGGTCAAACCTATTGGCTTCTCAGATTCAAAAGCAATATCAATTTTGTTGCAAAACATACACCAATAGATAACGGATACTGAATTTTCATACAACTCACATGAACTCATATCATATTTGAAGTTAAAACGTCATTGGGTTGACATTAGAATGGAACTTCTACAGTTTCTGACCACATTTCAGTGCAAATGAACTCAACTWTGATAGCCATGATCCTTAATCAACAAGGCAAATACGATATACAACCAGTGTAAAATCAAAGTTACTATACAAAACAATTCCCCCTTAAGTGGTTAAAGCTAGGATTGACATAGGAAAACAGCCAAGTKATGTCAACGATCAGGGAAATAAAACCTAATTCCAATTAACTCTCTGAGAAATAAGGGAAACGTCAAGAGAACTTACATTACTTCCTTTCCAGACTTGATAGTGTCGTTTTGGCTTCTTTTTCTCTTCTGCCATAGAATTTTCACACTTCAAAMTCTCGATTAAAGTTTTCGGAATTTCGAAACTCTCTGCTTCTTGTTGTGATTAGCAAAAACCCATGAGAGAAAAACATCAAATACTTGGCAGAAAAAACATTTGATGTATAAAAGAAAAGGGATTGGTATTTCAGAAGAATAATAGAAAGAATCATTCAGAGGAGATGAAAAACCCTAGGGATTATGATATGAATTGGACGGATTTACCAAGACAATGTTGGTCTGATTCGCTACACCTCCGTATTGTCTCTCTCTCACCGGCCAACAAAGCCGGTACGGCGGATGCTCCAATTTTCGTAGCGACATTCCCGCGGGTTACGTGATTTCCTTCAAGATGACACCTGTTATTATATTATATTTTAGAGTAAACTACAATTTCGATCCCTGTGGTTTGTAAGTAATGATGCTTTTTGTCCCTGTTATTTTAAAAATATAAGAATCATGGTTTACGAAAATGTCCGCATTTAGCCTCTCCTTTGGATGGTCGTTTACCGTTAACTAATGGTGCGTTTGGTACACTGGACATGGACATAGACAGGACAGAACAAGACAGGGATCCTTGTCCCATGCTTGGCATAAATTTTATGTGACACAGACAGGAACAAAGTGGAACATACATGTTTCACCCCTACCCCATGGAACATGGTGGAACAAGGTGACACAGACTTATATTTTACCAATATAACTTCAAAATAAAACTTAATTCCCTTCTAACACATCAAATAGGCCTCTCTTTTACACTTATTCGTTCTTTAAATTTTATTTATTGTATTTTATGTTTCTTAAACTTTCATTTTACTGTYCTCAAAATATTATTTTTATACGGTTTCTAGATTGTTGGTAGTAGTTTTTTCTTAGTATGGAATRCATATAGATTTCTTTCGATAATGAATTCTTGATGCTTTGCAAATATATTTTTGCAAGTAGTAGTGGTTTGATGTAAGTTATACTTTGCACACCGTATTTGTTAACATTTATATTGATTATTTAGTGCAAAAAACACTAAACAGCTCACTGGGGTAAATTGGTTATTTTAACCAGTTATGTCCAGTCATGTCATGTCTTACCAAATGTTGAACAGTTGTCCTGTCCTAACTTGTCCTGTCATGTTCTGTCTGCGTACCAAACGCAGCCTAAGGGGCAGTTATGTTCTTAGGTTCTTTGTATCTGCTATTAGAACTTAAAAAATATTGTAGACACGTCCACTAAAACAATGACATGTGTCTGACCTATTCCTTTCCTCAAAMAGTTTTACACAACTTTTCTGAACCCCTTTTCTGGTCATATGCTCTAACTGAACAGCCGAATGAGAGGGGCAGAGGCGAGGAGATTGTGGAGATCAATGAAGATGTAGGAGAGGTGTTGATGGTGGTGGCACAATGGAGATTGATTTGCACCACAACCGCTGTTTTGTAATCATTTTGAAWAGCTCACTTGTGCATCGTTACGTACATGAAAACTAGTTCCAGAGTGGGGGACAACAAGAGAAAAGGTATGTGATATGATTGGTCACGAAGAAATGAGAGAAAGGATGCAGGGGAGGCTTAGACTTAGTTGTGTTGATCTAATCAGAGTGATGGTGGTGTTGTTTGGAGGTTGAATGGTGACGAGGTCAAGGGGCGACAAGACATGAGGGTCGGGAAAAGGAGTTCGTTTTAAGACAGGGGTAGGGGGTTATGTATGTGTGTATGTATGTATGTATGCATGCATGTATACATGATGTGCATATATATATATATATATATATATTAATAAAATAAGATATTTTAACCAAAACTCAAAAAAGTCTAAAATGCCCCTCATATAACAAAATCTTTTAACAGTCGTTAGAAGGGAGGACCAAATTCGAGCGGTTTTACAAATCACAATGACTATCTTATATTTTCAAAAACGTAAGGACGAAAACCATTATAACAAACGAACCATAAAAACCAAAATTATAGTTTATTCTCTCAATGATCCAAGATATATTCTAAACGTTTAGATCGAGAATCGATATTTTGCTGTAAATAGAGTAAAGTATACAGATTTCATCTCGATTTTAATAATTTTACGATTTCATACAAGTTTGTCGACCACACGTTCTTTTCTTGTTATTTCTTATTTATTGGTTGACTATACATTGCCTTTTGCTTGACTATGTCTTTTGGAAACCAAATCCCTCAGTTTTTAAACAGAAGGAATGTAGTGAATATAAGTAAATATATCCGTCACTTAACAATTTTTATTAACTAGTTAGTGTTATGGATCATTTTYAAAGCAAAAYGCAAATTTTGATGGCTATTTTTGAATTTAGCAAAGCACGTGGATGATTTTTAAATTTTTTGGYAAACTACAGGGATCAAAAGTGAAGTTTACTCAAAAGTTATGCTGTAATGGTGGGCATGAAACTAGGAGGGCACAAAAATTCTGAAACCGGTGTGGCCGTCCAACTCTGGTGACTCTGCAAACCCGAACGACGGTGAAGCATGATGCAGGTGGCAATTCTGGAGGCTGAGGTTGCCGGTGACGGCCGTGAGTAGAGATTTAGCTACTTACATTGACCGGTACTGATTCATTGTGGTCACTGAGCAGCAAATCAGTGGAGAAGATGCCAAATTGGGCGTCAGGAGTTCACAGTCAACCGCAGTTTAGTGTGGCCTCCATAGATTGTCGCACGATTGACCCGAGATTCCTCCATTGGAGGTCRTTTTGACCATGGCTGTTTTATGGGCAAATGCAATGTGAATTTCACATTTATTACCCACGAAAAATTAGCACAAATTACTAGGGATTTGGAAAACTCCGATTCTATCGATCACGAGATGGAGAGGGAGAGAAAGAAAAAAAAGAAAAGTGGGCGTCGTCATCAGTTGATCATAAGGGGGAGATATAGATTCAGAGAGAATAACATTAGATACAAAGAAAGAGAGAGAGAGAGAGAGAGAGAAAAGGAGGGAGAGAGGGATAGGGTTTGTTCATCCATACACATATCTGGATTGAAGTCGAATTCCCCCTATCGATCTCCCCCTCTTCTTTAAGCAACAATTTCCTCCACCTGGATTGAAGTCGAATCTGAATCTGAATCTGAATCAAAATGGGGCGATAGTCATTGTCAACAATTTCATTTATAGCCATGATGGAAGCCCATAACCAGAACTCCATTTCTCCTCCCAAGACCAAGAGGCTTTATCAAGTTTGGAAAGGTCGTAATGTGAGTCTTCATCTCCCATTTTCATCATTGATCATCATGCAATTTCATAATTATCTGCTGCGTTTCGCTTAAATCCTAAATTGGTTCATGATTATCACATTCTATGAAAATTACGTCTTCAAAAACTGTGAAATTTTGACTTTCAAAAGGTCAAAATTRACATGAATATTGGGGAAATTATTGCTTTGAACACAAGCAATACATAATTCTTATTTGGAAATTTCTTCATCCTCAAGTCGATCTCATGTTCTTCGTTTTCTGTGTTGAAAATACGATTACCTGTAACATATCAGTCTTTGGTAAAAGGTCAATGTTTGACTTTTCAAGAATGCAATGAACATGAATCAATGCTTGTATGTTAGGGAAAGCATCTGCTCRTGGGTATTTGATTAATCTCAAATTGATTCGATGTTATCATGTTTTCATCATTTTTTATGTGAGAATCATCAGTTTTCTGCAACAATTTAGTTATTTAAATAGTCAATGTTTGGCTTTTGTGGGTCAAAATAGACAYGAATATCTTGGAGGAACACATTGCTACATATGTTAAAGATTCATCTTGTGGGTGTGTCTCTTGAATCGATTTTGTAATCATCACATTCCAAATCACTTTGATGAACATCATCAGTACGGTTTTTACGTTTCCCCTATTGAAACGAACCAAAAGATTGGAGAATTTATAAACTTCTTGAATGTGGTTTATGTTGAATGAGCGAAAATCCCATGAAACCCGATCATAAAGTTGTTTCAATCCTTACATTTTTCAGAGATTCTATTGTGGCGGTAGATTGGTGTTTGGTCCGGATGCTGGCTCRGTGTTGTTATCAACATTTCTTATTGCGGCTCCAGCGATAACCTTTTGCATCAAAATGCTACTCAATCTCACGAAAGATGAAACCGCTTTCGGGTACGGAGTACTGGCGGCAGGAATCATCCTCACCCTTTTGGTAAGTCTGCGATCGTTTCTTGAAATCTCCTTTTTTCGGCCTTAACTTTTATGAATTGACCATCTTTCCGTAAGCAGGATCTAACTTTTCTCTTCATGACGTCCGGAAGAAATCCTGGAATCGTTCGTAGGAACACACGACCGCCGGAATGTGAAGACTCTTTCAATTATCGGTCACAATCGATGGATTGGCTAAACAGTTCGCCCCTGAGTCTCAGGATACCGAGAATCAAAGATATGTTGGTCAACGGGCACACGATAAAAGTCAAATACTGTGACACTTGCATGCTGTACCGCCCATTGCGTGCTTCTCATTGCTCGGTTTGCAATAATTGCGTACAGCGGTTTGATCACCACTGCCCGTGGGTCGGGCAGTGTATCGGAGTTGTGAGTCCAATCAACTTTTGTTTGTCGATGAATTTTGCCRTCGAAATTGGTTGTAACCATGGTTAATGGATTTGCAGCGCAACTATCGGTTCTTCATCTTGTTCATCACTTCATCCACGGTCTTGTGTGTCTTCGTGTTCACGTTTTCGTTGCTCGATATAATTCGTCAACACGGGAGCTCATGGAATAGTTTATCGAAAGACGCTGTTTTAGTGGTGCTCGTMGTGTACTGCTTTGTCTGCGTTTGGTTCGTTGGCGGGCTCAGCATCTTCCATTTTTACCTCATTTCAACAAACCAGGTTACATTCTTACACCCATTTCATAACTTTTGGAGTCCCACATCTGCTAGAAAACTAGACACGGTCCCTTTTCATACTATATGTTGGAACCTCCGATTTGATTTCGTCTTGAAGAAAATTTTCTAATGATATATTTTGTTATATAAMATATTTATTTTATTATAATCGAATAAATTACATAATTAATCAAAATATATAAACAACTCAYTAGGGGTAAATTGGTCATTGTATCTTTTCAGTCCTGTCCACTGTCCAGTTATCTTACCAAACGTTGAACAATTATCGTGTCATGTTCTGTTCCATCTTGTATAGGTACCAAACACACCCTTAGATATTAATATGAAAGGGTTCAAGATATCTGATATGGTATCAAAGTCGTGGTCTACCACCTCTAAGGACTCGACACTTCGAGGCACTGTCTCCATCTAGTGTTCGTTAGAGGGGGTGTATACTGAGTCTGTGTGTATTGGAGTCCTTCATCGGCTAGACATGGTTTATTTATCCATTATATATGTTGGAACACTCATTATGTCTATTAGAGAGTAATATGAAGGAGTTTCACACGTATCTAAGAATGAAAATGGTGAACCCATAGCTCTAATTTAAAATTGTCTGAAAAGTGTTACTTTTTGTGTCGTATATTGCAGACAACGTACGAAAACTTTCGGTATCGATATGACAAGAAGAAAAATCCGTTCAACGAAGGGCTTTGGAAGAATCTTAAGGATGTATTTTGTACCAAATTGCCACCCCCTATCAATTTCCGAGAGTGGGTGACGGTTGAAGACGATGATCCTTCAACCATCGGATCCATCACACGAAGCTTTGGCGAATCTTTCCGTTCCCCAAAAGGGAAGTTCGACAGGCAACCAAGCATCTTACTTAAAAGGGACGCCACGTTGTCACACGTGCATAAGAATCACAGTTGTTCAACGACCGAGACCGATAAAGATTTAAAAGGCAACAACGGAGTAAAAAACGAGCCACAATTTCTAGTTAATCGTCAAGATTCGGATTTCCGTAACGAAGAAGGAATCAACCAAATTGAATGTAAGTCGACAAGATTTCAATAGGAAGATAGAACGTATGATTTTCAGGAATAAAACGTTTATTTTATGTTTTTTTTGGCATAAAATATATTGTAATAGTTTGAGAAAATTTTGGTTTCTTGGAAATTCGTTTTTTAGAGCAATAAATTTCAAATCCAAGGCAGTATTATTTCGTGCGTTCAATAGGATTTGCTAGTTTTGGCTCTTAAAAAATATAGACGGTCGGTAGAGTAAAATTACCAATTTACCCTTTTACGTTGAACGTAATCGACCTGCTATTTTGATGAATTACTGAAAACGAATGTTAAAGCCTTGCGAAGAATGAATACCAAACCACACGATGGTTTCATTCAAAAGCAACGTATAATATTATTAGGCATGAGAATGAGATCCGAACCAATCGGAAAACCCTCGGTGGGGCCGGGGATTTCTTGCAATTCCCGTTCCTAGAAGTTAAAAAACAAGGATGGGGATGGAGAATTTGACAGTCTTTTAGATTTAGAAAACATAAAGCCTCGTTCAGATATATTTAATATATTATTTATAAAAAAATAAATAATTTTATAGGCTTCAATAAATAATTTTATAGGCTTCAAAAATAATATTTTGACTTTTTTTCTTTTATATATATATATATATTTATTCGTCCTACTTTTTAAATAAAAAACACGAAGAACCAAAAGCGTTTGATCAAACAGTTACGTATAATGTTGTGATATCTTATTAAAGAAAAGTTCAAATAAATATATTGAAAACATGATAAACTATTTTATATATCATTTATTATGAATAGACCTAAATATTATTAATTATAAATATCAATATTATATGTGTATTTATATTATAAATAATATTAAGAGTGAATTATGCTTATGTCCAAGATTACGACTAACGTCATACTTTATTAAGTTTGGATATGGTATGTGCAGTATTCAATTTCTTAGAGAAACTTCAATCGAACGGCAAAACCTTAATTTTGCCGTTCTCTTGGATCCAATCATACGCCAAAAACATCAAAGTTTTGCCGGAGGAAGGGAATGAACGGCAAATTTGCCGTGGAAGGACGACAAAAGGTTGGAGTTAGAGTTCTTTTTGGTGTTTATGGGCCCACCTATTTGGTGTTTTTTTTTTGTGTGAAGGTTGGAGCTGCCTTTATGGCAACGGTCCCTTCCATTGCGGAGTTAAATATCCGTTAACCCATTTAACTCAAGGGCATTTTGGTCATTTTACACATGTATTTTTCCTATTAAAAATAATATATATATATATATATATATATATATATATATATATATATAAAATAGATTTTGGAGATCTTGTGATCGACCTCTTTGAATGACTAATTTGACAAGTTCTTGGGAGGTAAATTCATGCTGATCTTAGAAATGGAAAATGATGACTACTTCTCGTTGAATTTAGCAATTTTCTGAAAACGGGATAACAGCAATGTGCTTCTCCGTGGATGTAATCTCGCCATTTCATCTTTCCCACAATCCTTCATATGACAATTCGTCAATCTAATCAACACAAGTTACTGAAACAACACACAAATCATCGAATCGAAACCATTTTGGGAAAAGGGTTGAGAAATCGAGACACATATACCCACCAAAAATCCTTGGAACATGGCGAGAATGGTGCGGCTGATGGTAACAGATACGATATTGTCTTTCATGTGGGTTTGGGCAGCCGTTATCATCAGATGGATTGTTAACGGTGTTTTAGGGTTGAGGCATGATGGCTATGCTTCTGAATTCCTTAGATCTTCTCTCTCCGTTTTCAACATGTTCTTATTTGCTTATTTGGTTAAGCTCACAAATGGTGGGGCTTACAATCCCATTGTTGTCTTTACCTCCGCCATCACTGGAAATTTTGCCTCCTTCCTTTTCAATATCGGAAGAATCCCCTTTCAGGTTTGTTGCAAAATTTTTAAGTTTCTGCTTCAACACGTTTGATTTTTTTGCTTCATTTATGAGATATGAATTGGGTTCTGCCAATCAGATCAATTGCCATTGTTTTTGAGCATATATACGTTTTCTTGATATTGATTCAGGTTGATTCAATCTGTGCTTGAATCTGTTTATTCAAGTATATGTTTCTGATGACTATGCATTTTCTGATCTAGGTTAGACATTGTGAGCTCCCTAGTGCTAATTGCTTGCATCTCTATTGGGCTTGCAGTAATTAGATTTACTGTCTGATTTGCAGAGATTTATTTAGGTTGGTTTTGTGAGTTTTATAATGGTTATTTTGGATTAATTTGATAGAAGTATGATTTTGAACGTGCTATGTGTCTATATTCTCTTTTATATCTCTTTCATTATCGAATAGGCTTGTTGATTATGATTAAATTTCTTTTATATTCGACCACCTGCATTGCATATAGCCCGGAGTCACTGCATTTGAACCTCCATGGCCACAAGGGGATTTTTATTCCTCCTTGGATTTGAACCTGAAACCTCCTGGTACTTTTGACCTTTGGAGTCAAGCTCAAACCAATCAGACACCACCCTTGTGGTTATCTTTTGTTATGTTTTAGGATTAGAGACCGGGTTTATAATCTTTTTGCTTCCGTTTTAATGGATCTGTTGATAGGGCTTGATTATAGTCTTTATTCTGGTTCTGATTGACATCCTGATTACTAGTTTATTGCAAAAACACAGAAAACAAACATATTATAGTATCAATAATGCTGTGCTGCACCATTTCTTTCTTATACCAAAAAGGCTGAATGAATGTAGTAATTTTGTGAATTTAGAAGAGGGGTTGAGACCAGAAAAGCATAAGAAAGTGGGCTTACTGAACACTTCTTCCGTTCTTGGATCAGAGTCTGTATAAAGTTATGCTGTAATTGTCGTATCTATTGGTGTGCTTCTGATGCTTGCCCACCTGCTTCTAGTTCATAACATGACGATGAGTTAGGACCAAGTGAGGAATTTTCAGTTTTATGAGAAGGTGAGAACAAGTGAAGATACCTTTATATTGTGTGAATGTTACGTTATATTCTGTGAAAGTTACAACTTTCACATCACCATTGCATTGTATTCTGTGAACGTTGTAACCTTCACACAGTAACAAAGTATCTTCACAGTTCTCACGATCACACAATATAATGGTACCTTCACGCTTCTCATGTTTTCACGAAAATAGGTTGTTTTCACTGGATCCCAACCCACAAATGTTACTTTGTGTGGGATTTTATGAAAAAGAGAGGGTTGTGAGCTTTAAAACAAATGCTTGGAAGCATCCATCTGAATGGACCATGATAGAACCACAAAGCTTCAAGATTCATTAAAGAACGGTTTTGGCCAAGTCAAGATTTCTAAAAAATTTCTTATATTATGTCGGCATACTTCAAATTTAAACCTGTTTGGATACTCAAGTCAAAAAAAGTGCTTTCTTAATGTCATCCAATTTCTGTTAATATATTGTCTTCATAGGAACACTATTCGGGTCCTCATCCTGAAAAAATGATGGTTTTTGGCCATGTTCAGAAACTACAAGCTAGGTTATTGTTTTTGAGCTTATTAGAAATCCCCGTTTGGTAAGCTATAAACTGGCTGATAAGCTAGCTTTATGAAAGGCTACTTCAATAAGCTCTAGGGCTTTTTTTTACAATCTTTTGGAATTATGACCCTAATACTTTTCCAATTAATTCTTCAACATGTCTTTTTAGGTCATTTTACATTGTCATTTAGCTTATCAACTAGTTTTTACCAAACATGACTAGTTTATCGGCTTGTTATCAGCTACCAGCTAGCTTATAAGCTAGTTAGCCGAACTTAGCCTTACAAGTGGTATGAAGTTGCTTATTATCTAAGGAAATCACCAATCAACGGAAGAAGGGTTTTGTTGCATTCATTGTACTAAGTTGAATCCCCCGTCTACAATTTTTTGGTTTTATTTATTTTGTTGACAATTTCCCCATGTTCGGAAATACATGGATGTATTGGACTTCTCATGAGGACTAAGAAAAAGCTTGATTAGAGGATTAATGTCTAAAAACCCTCATTTGACATGCAGTGTCACTTAATTGAATGCCAACATACATACATTCATAGGATTGGGTTCCGGTAAGAAGGAGAGTTAAGGTGAGAAGTGTAAGAAGGGATCTACACCCTTGGATGCACATTAGGATGAGATGCACCAGAATAATCCCCGTATCAAGCGTGATTCATGGGTGGGTTTGAGATTAAAGGTGATCAAGGGTCCAAATCCCTTCTTAAGCTTCTCATCTTAACTCTTCTTCTCACACAATCCTTCGCTTACATTCATATATATATATAKAGAGAGAGAGAGAGATACACATATATGATCAACTTAGCTTTATTTGGCAGGAGCAACTGTTCAAGGACATCAATGTGTGTATATTTATATATATACACACACATACACGTATAGGTATACACACACACACATAGGAACAGTGTTATCCTGAATGAATTGTAAATAATGTACAGAGTCTGCAATTTTAACTCTTATAATGATTTCTGCAAATTGGCTATAAGCTCATCTAGTTGATCATATCTTCCAATTATTTTAACAGTTAGATTCAAATTTTCTCACTTTGCACTCATTTTGTCTAATGATCAGGTGTTTGGATCAATCATCAGTGTGAGGCTTATCCTTGTGACTTTTCCCGCAATATGGCGTGGGCCAGAGTTGGTGATCAACCTCCATCAAGGTGCACTAACAGAAGGGTTATTGACATTCTCACAAGTGCTGATCACACTCGGTCTTGATAGAAACCTCCAGGGCAGTTTCTTCAGGAAGACTTGGATTAATAGCATCTTAAAACACACACTTCATATATTAGGATCAGATTTAACCGGTGGATGCATGAATCCAGCTGCTGTAAGTATCCCCATTCGACACTTCAATTTCGCTTTCTTTCTCCTTTTGTTACATCTGTTTAATGAAAAACTCGAAGTTAAGGTAGGTTGACTTGGTAAAAAAAAATATTTACTTGGTAGCTATAGTATCGAGTACAAGAAGTTCTAGGAGCTGTTTAGTTGTTTTCTAAATCCTGTATGAATAAAGTTGTTTGTGTGGATAATTTGTGTATATAGATCGAGAAGGTTTTTGTTTGGAGGGTTTTTTCATAGATGAAAGAAGCTTGTTTTTTAATTGGGAGGCGCAAGTTTGGAAAAATCTTGGCTTTATGCATAAAGCTCCCCCTAGAAGCTTAGTGAACAAGTCACTTTCTATATCATTAAGAAACTACAAAAGGGACATGTATAGCTGATCAAATAAGTTGAGAGTCGCATTAAGCTCATTAAGTTGCTAAAAAAGAAACCCTTACTCTTTATATTAGCCACCTAGGCAAATCAAACCAAAACGACCTGGTATAGTGGTATATCCCACACAGAGGTAGGGTCTGAAAAGCAAGATGTACATAGACCGGACCTACACCCATTCTTGATGCATTTTCTATCAATTGAACAAGTCCATGAACTAGAATGGTCCCCACGACATTAGCCTAGCGGGTAAGCAGGTGGGAATCCTTGCAGAATGAGTGGGAGGTATGGGTTCGACTCCATGCACCACCCATCTTCCCTCTAGGGCACACGATTTACCTTTCTCATGATGGTTGTGGGACCAATATATGATGGGGGCGCTCCATACGATGACACCATACCCTTTTGTATAACATTAATTAGAGTGATTGTTTAAATAAGTTAGATGGTTAAGTGTCCAAGTGATTGGCTTTGGAAGGTTTCTGAAGAAAATCTTTATATGTAGCGTTTTCTTGATCTTTTCAAATTGAAACCTTCGACTTTTAAATTTGTAGGTAATTGGGTGGGCGTATGCTCTTGGTGTTCACAAGTCGAAGGAGCATATAGTCGTTTATTGGCTTGCCCCCATGGAGGCTACTCTATTGGCAGTCTGGACATTTAGGTTGCTCGTAAGCCCTTCAAAACCAGATAAACAGAAGACAAACTGACACAGGTGATTCTTTTAAACATCTATATAAAATTGATCCATCTACATACATACAATGAAGAATTCACTTGTAGTAGAAGTTTAGATTTTGTTCTCTTTTTTGATCTCATTATATAATTTGATACTTGGAGCTTGTTGATACATTGAGGATGAAATGTTGTTCATAGTAAGGCTTCAGATTTCAGAGCTCTTTGTATAATTAAATAATGTAAAATCATGGAATGTTTCAAGATTGAATTAGAATTTTTAGTGTTTTTTCAACACTGGTAAATCAAGATCTCCAAAGAGAAATTACATTAAACTCCAACGACTTCTTTATTTTGAAGACTTAAAAGTTGATTATATTATTAAATTAATTTATACATTTGATAAATGTTAATCTCTCTTAAACATATAGTTTGCAAGGTTTTTAATGGTGATGACGTGAGGGGTGACATGGCGGCAATAACAAATCTCAAACCTTAATTGCCATGCAGGGCCGGCCCTGGCCCCGTGCGGCCGCACAAGGCATCAAAGCCTAAAGGGGCATCAAATTGTCATTTATTACTAGTTTAGGTTTTAATAATTTGAGAAATAGACAACTGAGTTTTAACTATAAAAACAGGCGCAAGGCCTAATAATGATGAATACTGAATGCACATCGTTGGTGAAAGTTGGAAAAGTTTTTGTTTGTATGAATAAAGTTGTCTGTACAAATTAATCTATTTGTATAAGTTGGAAAAGTTTTCGTTTGATAGATTTTTTTGGCAGATGTAAGGATCGTTTTTTAGTTGGAAGAGACATGTTTGAAAAAAAAAATTGGGTTTCTATATAAAGCTCCCCCTAGAAACTTACTAGATAAGYCACTTTTTATATCATTAAGCCACTACGAAACAGTCATGCATAGTTGAGGGAATAAGTTGTTAGTTCCATTAAACTTATTAAGATGCTAACAGATAAGCGATTAGCCTTTCGTCGTTAGACCTGTAACTTTTGAGTTATACTTTTTGCTTACTATGACAGCAATTTGGATGTAATTTACTATTTTAGTTAAAAACTAATTACAGTTTTTCTTGTTTTTTAAGTTCCATATATTGAAATAAAGTTTTTATTTTGCTAATTTCAATTTGGAAAGGGCAAAACTGGAAAAGAATGAAGCACGATCTTAATCCATGATTTATCATTTTATATTTTGTATTCGATGTTTTGGTTTTTATCCCCTCCCCCCAATTGTATTTTTTTAATTATATAATTAATAAAAATCAACATCAAGATGAGATACTTAGCTTACATAGGTTCTAAACTCTTTAAAAAATCACATGTTTCGTTGTTTCATTGGCTTAAAAAAAATAAGTTTAGGGGCATTTTTTATTATTTTCGCACAGGGCATCAAAAATCTTAGGACCGGTCTTGTTGCCATGACGAGGTCATAACGATTTTTAACACATGACTTATGAAGATAAATTTATATATCATACATAAACATATATTTTGTATTATTATTTATCAAGTCAATAATATTAAATAATTTAAATTAAATTAAATATATTAAAAACTAAACGATAAAAATCAAATATCTAGATAGAGAGTAAGAGCAGAGACAGACCTATAATGGTACATACCGTGGCACCGTATTATTCTTCTATCAAAAGGTAAAAAAAACTTAGGTTCGTGAAAGGTGTAACCGTATTAATTTGTTATGTGTCATGGTATGTATATTAAAACTACAATGATAACAAGTTTTATTTGGTAGAATTGGTTTGCAAGACTTTTATTTCATCACATACCTTAGTTCGAATCTTGTTATTGTCATTTTCTTAGTCAAATGGTACCATTGTTTGGGAAAAAAATTATAATTTTTTCCTATAGTCAAATGGTGTCGCTAATTGAAAAAATTCCCGAGTTCTGTTGACCTCTTAATAGTTTCATTAAGAGGCAACCTCTGAATCATTAAGAGGTGAACTAAGAGTCCTAATTTCATTATACACGGTTACGAAACAATTATATTTTATTTTAACCAATTAATCATTCTAGATAGAAAATGTATGTAATGTTACAATTCGCAAATCTGTCTCCGTAGCAATGAAAAACCAAAATTATGTAGTCATCGCATCGTCTTCTTCTCCGCTGGACACGTTCTGGTAGGGTATTGTTTTGAACAGATGAACAAGAAGAAGATGGATTCAGGGTTTCGTTTTGTCGATGAAGGAAGTCAGTGCCGGTGGAATTTCAAGCCATGATCCCTCTCCGAAAAATGAGATCGGTGGACGGTGGTGCTGCAATATGTTTCTTGGCCAGAGATACATGACAGAAGAGGGTTTAATATGTGTGTGTGTGTATATATATATATATATACGTACGTGTATGTATGTATGTATGTATGTATGTATGTATGTATGTATGTATGTATGTATATGTGTGTATATATACGTACAAATGGTTAAATACAATGGCCTAAAACGTATTTACTGAAAAGTGAAGAAAGCATCATTGTATATGGAAGTAGTGGAAAGTGGGAGCCCTACAAGTGTCACGTTACTCTATTTACCCATGTTAGTGATGAAAGTGACTTCCACTCAGGTGAAGATCAGTCACAGGTTGTATAAAAGTCCAGATACAAAATTCTCAATCTCTCTCGACTTAATCGAGCGACGGCAAACCCAAAGCTGCCATCGCTTTTCTGCCACCAGTTCCATCATTCACCAACATATTCATCTTTCTGATTGCTGTCTAAAATCGTAATTCGACAGGTATCATATTCATCTTTGTGTTGCTCAATCTACATGCTTACATCTTTATCTTAGAACCAGAGGTTACATGTTTGGATCTTATCCAAAAAAACACTTGGATTTTACTGTTTAATCTTCTTGGCACGATATTGCTTATAGAATCGATGACAAGAAAGACTGATTGTATAATTTCTGAAGTAAACTGTTCCACATAAATTGTTGCTTCATATCTTGAGTTATAAGTGGTGAATCTTTGGGCAGCCTGGACCTGTTAAACCTTTCTTGGAGACTGGTTTCATCTGATATTTTGGTCAGTTCTTCTTTCAATCTTGAGATATGTTGAATGCAAATGCATCTATTGTTCTTTGAATGTGTCTGGGGTTGGTTCTTTTGCTGTTTTTGCTGGGTTTTGTTGAGGTTTGGATGGTGCAACTTATGATGGGATATTGGTTTTGTGGTTCTTGGTTCACATTACATTGTGTCTGATTGCATGATGACACTATCAAAACTTCCAAATTTTGATTCTTTATACTGTGTATTTCAGATGCTGAAATGATGTGGTTGCAATAGGCATTCATCCTGGCTCTCGAGACTCTTTCATAGAATTCCAACAAAATTTCTAGATCTAATCAGAAGAATTATGATTCCTTTATGATCTAATGCTATAGTTTCTCAGGATTCTTAATAGAACTACACTTTCAAGTATCGCAATACTGGTGATGCCTTCATTCTAAATGAAGACAGCTAGAGCATGGCACACAGGCATAAAAGATTTTCTTACAGTATCTGGTTCTCGGCAGCGACCACATCTTAAAAGACCAAACTGTGTTATTGTCTTTTTGTGTTTAGTAAGCATTTTTGTGATTGGAGTCTATAAATACTGGCCCAGGAACTCTGCAGCCTGCCATATCTTTTTCTCCGATAGTTGTTTCAAGTATGATCAGGTGCCAACTGTTCCTTCCCGAGAATTAACTGATGAAGAGATTGCATCCCAAGTGGTCATCAGAGAAATTTTGATGTCATCTCCTGTTCAATCAAAGAACCCAAAAATAGCTTTCATGTTCTTGACTCCTGGTTTGTTACCTTTTGAAACACTATGGGACAAGTTCTTTCAAGTGAGCTGCCATCCAAAATTAACTACTTTTTTTGTTATGCGCATGTGAATGTCATCTTTTCTTGAGCTTTCATCTTTTACAGGGCTACGATGGTAGATTCACTGTTTATGTGCATGCCTCACGAGAGCAACCTGCACGTGTGAGTCCATACTTTGTTGGTCGGGATATACGGAGTGAGAAGGTAGATATTCGTTACAGAAATTTAGGTATATTGTTTTCTAGGGTTCACTTTGTGTACTCTCTTTACATCTGATGACAATAAACCTCTAGAGGACATATTTCAATGTTTCACAACTAGGTTTTCAGTATGCAAACAGTACATTACGTACATAACAAGAAAAATAAAATATAACATCCGTAACAGAATCTTAGCAGAGATTTAACATAACTAACAATTTATAAAAGATACTTGCTTTCACTATCTGATTGGTAGGTTGCTTGGGGAAAAATATCCATGGTTGATGCAGAGAGGAGACTCTTGACAAATGCACTTGAAGATCCAGATAACCAGCAATTTGTTTTGTTATCTGACAGGTAATCCAACAATATGGTAGTGGTTACTAGTAACTCAGGTATTCTACACTGAACATCGCCTCTGGCGTGTAGCTCAGTTGACAAAGGGGTGGGGTGACTTTGCCCAAATACAAGACAGGTCCTGGGATTTAGGGCCCTCCGCTAGCATCAGCCGCTGAGTGGGCCAAAAAATTTCCCATCACATTGGTGTCCTTGGAGGTGGGTTCTATGTGGGGCCGGTTGGGATTGCTGGTAATCAACATTTCCCCAAATTCTACACTGAACATCATTTTTTGACAAAAGTCTTCTAATTTTATTGCAGCTGTGTACCATTGCATAACTTTGATTACGTGTACAACTACCTAATACTTACGAACGTTAGTTTCCTTGACTGGTAAAAACATTGTACCTTTCTAGCAATATATATATATATATATATTATTTTTCTCTTATTAGTTAAGATGCATACCATATATATATATATATATATATATAGAGAGAGAGAGAGAGAGAGAGAGAGAGGCAGATTCAAATGAGAACGCTAACTATTTAAGAAAACAAGATGAATGTCGTTAATTTAGAAAATCATATATGATTCACGTACAAAATCATACATGATTCACACACACACACACATACATTCACGTAGAAATCATATAGGTTCAAAAGTCGTCAGCTTCCATTTTTTTGACGTTAATGTAAAATCACATGTGATTTTGTACGTTAACGACTTTTTTCTTGTTTTCTTAAATAGTTAGCGTTCTCGTTTGAACATTTCCCTGTATATATATATTATTTTTCTTTTATTAGTTTAGATGCATGCCATACTTCTAATTCTTTCCCTTCTCTTCTCTGTTTATCTTTCGTGTGTAGTTTTGATGATCCAGGTCCACACGGAGGTGGTAGGTACTCGGAACATATGTTGCCTGAAGTTGAATACAAGGATTTCCGCAAGGGTTCACAGGTATTGTTCAATCATATACACTTTTGTAACATTATCAATCTATCTACAGTCACAGACCATATCTTTTCAACTATTTTCGTTTATGGGCATATGAGAAATAGTAAATTGACTTCTTGAGTTCGTTTTGTTAGCTATAATCAGTCAAACTCTTTTGTTAGCAACTTAATGAGCTTAATGGGACTTGCAACTTATTCAGTCAGCTATACATGATTGTTTGGTAGTTGCTTAATTTTATAGAAAATGTAAGTTTCCAGGGGGAGCTTTATGCAGAAAATCAAGTTTTTCCAAACTTGTCCTTCCCCATTAAAAAGCACGCTCCTTCATCTATGAAAAAACCCTCTCAAACAAAAACCCTTCACAATCTATACAGACAGATTAATCCACACCGACACCTTTATTCATATAGGACTTAATGGAAAACCAACCAAACAGCCCCTAAACCTTACCTACATGATTTGGTCTACTGAAGTTGGACTCTTACGTTCTGTAGTCGATTTTTTTGTCAATTGATACAGTCGTTCTAGTTTTCTATGGAACATGATCCTAGCTTTATACGTATATCTGTAGTGGTTCACTTTGAAGCGGCAGCATGCTATACTAGTTATGGCCGACAGTCTTTACTACAGGAAGTTTCGGCTTTACTGCAGAGTAAGTTCGTATTCACTGAATTTTTGCTTAATGAATGATTATGAATACCTAGAGAACCAAATTTAGGTTGTTGGATTCTGATCCAGTTCATATTCATATATGAAGATCCAGTGAATAATCTTTTGTTTCTTGAATCTAACAGCCAGGTATGGACGGAATCCATTGCTACCCCGATGAGCATTATCTCCCGACACTTTTCCATGTCTGCATCTGAGAACTCCTGTTTTCTTTACTTCAATTCCATGACTAGTTTGCTAATCTACTTGTCTATATCCTTTTCTCAGATGGTTGAATCTGGTGGAATAGCCAATTGGTCTGTGACGTATGTAGATTGGTCGGAAGGAAAGTGGCATCCAAAATCATATTGGCCGCACGATGTTACAAATGAGTTTCTAAAGAACATTACGGTATACGTACATTATTCTGTTTTCTGTATGTTGTTTCATTTAATTCTCACAACTCATCATTCAGCCAATTAATACACCTTCTGTTCTTCAGGCCCTTGATTATAGCCTACATGTCACAAGTGATGAAAAGGTACAACACTTGATCACTTAATTTGTCTCATAACACTTTTTCCAAAGTCGGGTGCGAGTCTTGCTGAGTYAACTCTCAACTCATAATTTCTTAAGAAGAAAGCTTAAGAAATTGGCAATCGGGCATGAGTGTCCGGAAGTTGTCATTGTATACTCCTGCGGGAGGGAAAATAGGAATAATACCCGGCTTAGGGGGTAAAGACCAATCCCATCATGGCATATTCCTATCTTATTATTGTTATTGTGTGAAAAGCAGTACCGACCTTGGATTATATGAGACCATCAAATAACATTGAACATTCACAGCAAAACACGATGAAGGTACAAAAAGATGTTGATAACCTTCACGGTGTTTTTGCTGTGAGGTTCAGCGTGTTGCTGTACCTTCACAGCTGGTCTCACTAGAACTCAACCCAAGGAGTACCCTTTCAGTGACTTATTATTGGTTGTGCAGAAAACAAAGATGATTAAAGAATGCATGTGGAATGGAAGTAGACGACCGTGTTACCTATTTGCAAGAAAATTCTATCCTCAAGCATTGGATAAATTGATGCAACTTTTTTCGAATTATACAGTATCCTAAAAGAGCTTCGAAATCGTAACTCTTTGGTCAGTTCAAGAAAGTACAGTCATCATCGCTGAAAAGCAATCGAAAAGACTAGATTCATGAAGGGAATATACGCAATAAACCAAAACCAACATGAACAAACCAGCTATCGGACAAAAGTTCATGATTGTAGCTAGTATTGGTGTTTATTTCATTTTGTATATGAAACATCATCCAGATGTTTGTTTAGCCATGACTTCCTTATTACGGGATGAATGACTCTGAATTGGCTTCTTCTTTGCAAACAACAGAACTCCTTTTGGCTTGAGTTTCTATCTCTCTGATTATATACTACTCTTGTATCTACACTCTGCAGCATTGCAACAGTTCTACATGATCAGGTAACAAAAAGGGGGGACAGAAAAACATGTAAGATGTCATTTTCGCCATACTCGACTCCAAAAGGTAAAACCAAACCAAAGGAGTCCGGTATATCCCACCCGTAGGTGGGATCAACTTGGAAGTAGAAATCTAAACAGCATTGCCCCAGAGATAAAGCACAGGAAGTCAGGAACTCACATTTCAGCACTGTTGAATTGTGTATTCATCCATGGTACTTCCATACAACCTGGAAAGTGTGGCGCCCCGTTATTCCTTTTCCTTAACCGTTTTTGTCTTCTGTATAGATTCCATTGCTTCTTCAAACGATTTCTGCAGATATGAAAACAATAAGGAACGGTCAAATATTACTCTCAACCACGGATAGCATCATGATTGCTTCTTAGAAGCTCATTCATTTTCTCCCTCTCACATATATAGAAGCACAGCCATATGAAACAGAAATCAACTTAAAACTAAAGAACAGTTTGTTTCTTTTATCTCCCATGACTGATAACAACATTAAAGCTCTAATGGCCAACACATCACTTTATTTCAAAAAAATTCATTCTAAAATCATTTGTTTTGCACATTGTGATCATTAGAAATCATTGATGTTGATTTGGGTCCACAACATTTTCTATCTTGATATGATCAAAGAGTATTTTAGATATTGACTAATGGCCAAACATTAGCAAACCATGTGTATAGGGTCAAATCCTTGCAATTCGGTTTAAGAAATGTTCCGGTCAACAATCGATGACTAAACCATATGCAAAACTATGGGTAAAAATAAACGACTGTTGAACGTTTCAACTATTGACAACCAAAAAAGTTGCAAAAATAATGGAAAAGCATTAAATGCATCCATATGTTGCAATTCTCATCCTGAGTAAAATTTAAGGCAGTACGATTGTCACTTATGAGCCGTAAATGCAAAATTTCGAAACATAGTCGCAAAGGACAAGTAACATACACCTGGATTCTGCATCTTCCAGATTGCATCTCTGCCTATTTCAACGACAGCTAGACCACTCAATATAGCCCTGCAGGATGTTTCTTCATCAGAAAACCAGCATTTGGGAAACAACCGAGTCCAATTAAGTTAAGACGAACATCATGCATGCCTTCATGGTCTTAGAATTTGCAGAAAAGATATATAGTAGTAACTTCATGTGAGATACACTATCTATGCAACTTTACTAGACCATAAACAACAAATATAATTGGATTCCTTTCCATTTTGCACTTACAAGCATCGTTCTGACTTTGAAACCATCTTCCAACCTTGAATTTGACTTGCGACTAAAATTGTGGATTTGAGTTCAACTTCCGTTTACAATTTCACCTCTAATGTTACTGTGGTTTTGATTTCAGATTATGAGTCCAGTTTGTTAATTATCTTCTCTGTTATGTTTGTGTTCTTTTGCTAAAAACAATAGTTCTTTATGTTCCATGCAGTGTTGTCTCTTAAAGAACAATTATTGACCATCAAAGATATCTTTGTTTGGTTCTTCACTTCTTTAATATGTACCCCTCCATCCCAAATAAATGCACCACAACCTGTTTTGGATTGTCATAAAGAAATGCAATTTTTTCCTTTTTAATAGGATTCTACTCCTAAGTTACCTAGAGACTCTCCATAAACTACAGCTCAGTCAAACATTGTATATGTTTTTAGGAGCACTACTAATCCAAAGTCGAGGTTGGGAACACCTTCTAATTTAATGATTTAGAACAATCGTCAAGTTGATAGGGAAAGCGGTAGAGTTAGTGAACATGCCCAGAACATAGTTAAGATATTTGAGATGAACATTACACAAGGAAGGAGATAATAAATGAAGATATTAATCATACATAATGGCATCACATATAAACTGCAATATGTTATGGATTTGTGTGACCGAGAATCCTATGAAGCCCTATGAAGCTATAAGGTAAGTTGTGGAGAACTAATGAGATTTACAAAGTAAGATTTTGGGCCACAATATGCATAAGATGAATGTGATCAATATTAATGCTAGGGTGGATGTGTGCCCCTGTGGTGGACCTATGTTGTATTCTGGGTATGCACACCAAATTCTTTTTTAACTCTTATATTTGGTGCATTCGCGAAATTTTGTTATATTTGTCATGGTATTACATCCCCAAGTTGGAATCCTGTATCGCCACTGAAATGACCACACGCTAAGGGATGGGTTTCGTAATGATGATGTATGGGAGAAGGTTTGGGTGGAGATAGTAGAGGAGAAACTGAGGCAACAATACGTAAGATAGTTTATCCATATCTAAGTAAGCCATTAAAAACACTTGGCATAAAGGACATGATCTCGAACACACTTTATATTCGCTACTAGAAATCCTCACTCTCTGCACTCATCCGTCAAGTAGAACATCATGCCTCTCTAATCAATGTCAGTATACATTATATCAACCAAACCATGCTAATACGATTCTACAAGTGTACAAGCTTCCTTTTGCATGTAAATAACAGCACAAGTTTTTCTCTTTGTTGTTGCCTCTAGACTCCATCCAACTCTACACCATCGCCATCTTTTATGAACATTTTCACTTATAGATCAAGGGTCTCCCTCATCTCTATTCGACTATCCTCTTCCTAAAATATTGAAGCTTTACAAGAGGAAATACCTCTCATTTAACTTCTTTGCTCTATTAGTTTAGAAGTTGAGCTCCATATTGAAGTATGTGTGTATAGTGTATACACTTACAAACACAGGAAAAGAGTTTGGGGGGAATCAATAGTGATGAATAGTAAATGTGGAATAAGGCTCCTATACACAAGCCATTTATGTCTACCCTCAATGGATCGTATGTGTTGGGTGGGGAGCCTTTTTCCACAAACACTATTCATCATGACAGATACCTCAAGACCAAGAAGCTTTCTAGCACACTTTCTGTATCATTAAGCCACTCTGGTTGCCCACAGTGGGCTACTAAACAAGTTTATGCTAGATGTTTTTCTGTGAAGTTGTTATTATCAAAACGAATTAAAACTCCACAAAAATCATTTCATCCAGAAAAAGGGCGAAATCAATTCAATTTCAAAGTCGCTATATACATGAAAAATAGAGTTCGAGAGAGATAGCAATACCCAGCAAAAGCGACATTGAGAAGAAACGCACGACTGTTTATGTATCCAAGAGCAATCTGAAACCTAGAAACAGTTGCCTTCTTGCTACCATAGTAATCGTTGTTCTTCCTGCTATCATACGTGTATCCGTACCCATACCCGTACCCGGAACCACTTCTAGCACCCTGATTGCTAAAATTAGAACGGAAATTATAATCAGCGCGCTTGTGATCATCGACTAAAACCTCGTAAGCCTCGGATGCCTGCTTAAATCGGACGGTGGCACCATCCCTGACGGATTTGGGAGATGCAGAGTGCTTATCCGGGTGGAATTTCTTTGCTATATCCCTAAATGCTTCTTTGATTTCGTCTTTGGTAGCGTCCCTACTCAAACCGAGCACCTTATAGTAATCCATCCTCAAATTGATCGTGTATAAAGAGATTGTACGATGGAATTGGGATGCAGATTGACATAAGAAAGGGCATAAGAATGAAGGGATGGTGGTTTCTTGGGTGGTCGGAAACAAGGTCTCGTGGCGCCGCGATAACCATATTTGTTTTAAGAAAGCCTAATGACACCCTAAGCATTGCAAATGGCACCTCTAATCTCCTCCTATATAATTATTTGATTTTTCTTATTTAAATATATACATATTAGGGTAATCGTGCAATACAACGAGATAAATCTTCATTTTAATGTTTAGTTTTTATTATATCTTTATTGATATAATACGGTTTCTTGTGGTTTTGAGAAAGCGACACTGTTTTTATTTTTAAATGAAATATAAATTTGAAGATAGCTTAAAATTTAAAAATAATAATAAATCGTATTAGTATAAAATTAACTATTTAATAATTTTCGTTTTTTGTGTAATTTTTTTAATTCAATTTTTTATTATAAGTTAATTTAGATTTAATAATAAAGTAATTTATTTTTT